TTTTTTTTTTTTTTAATGAATCACATCCAAAACTATCACGATATTAATAGAAGATAGCAGTGGTAAACTTACTGGCGTGCAACCCAGTTTTGATTATAACGGTTTCCTCATTTTATGTGGCCTGTATATTCTTCTAGCTCTTTTTATTTGTTTTTTCCGGATTATGTATCATTAATAATAGTGGTGTTGGTGCAATGGCGAGGACCAAGAACTTTAGTTGCCGATTACCTATTCTGTTGGACTAGTGGTTGCTATATAAACTTGGGATTTGCATCACCACCTACATTGAGTCAACTTAGATATCTACTCAAATGGTAGAACCTCGAGATATTAACTCCTGAAGCAAAGCTCTACTTTCGAACCCTCCTGAGGGGTTGGGGTTGGACTGTCTTGTTTTACCATGTTTCTAGTTTCCAATTAGAGCATGCAACATCAAAAGAGAATAGTGCATCAGCCTACTCTGCCAAGAGCTGGCAGCAGGGCAACGATCTAGTCCAAACCTACTTTTTACGCCTTTGAACCGGATCCCTCAGATTCATACCGAACCGCTTATGGCCTAATCCAAATTGGAGTAGTTGCTGCAAGTTGCAATTCAGGTGGCATAATCAAACATGGCTGGTCAAGAATCAAGACAATGATGCTGCTTTCTGGTATGCCTCCTTGTGAACACTTTTTTAAACAAAATGTTCCTTTCAACTTTGGATAGTTTGTAAACTCACATCCTTTAGGTTTTAATTTCAAAAAATAATCCCTCTTAAGTTTGAATATTTTGTAATTAATTCCAATAGTTTTTTTTAGATCATAAAAATTGACAAAAATTAGACATATTAAAGTCACGAGATGCCAAATTTAATAGAAGAGATCTAATTAATTGATATAATTTACTAATTTAATTAGCATTTATTTGACCATAATATTGGGTGGACTTTCTAAGAACAATTGATTAAGTAAGCAAATTGGATCTAAATCTCCTCAAGTAAGCAAGTTTTTTTTTTTTGGCCTGGCCAGAAGAGCATTCATGTCTTTTTTTCAAACTTGGTTTACTCAGCAGCACTAATCTTATAATAATGATTAACCTTAATGATTGATTGTCAACAACTAATTAAAGTTTGTTTGAAAATACTTATCCCAAACAAAAAAGAAAAGATAAAATAAAAAATTGTTGAAAATTTACGTACCAACATTGTATTGACTTCATTTAAGTGGGACCAAGGATCTTAATTTTCTATTTATTTTTTAGTTGACATATACTTTGGTATGGCGGGACCCACGAAAAAAGCCCTCCGCCCATTATTATACGCTGTGGGGCATAACTCGTCGGACGAAGTGGGCTCCTGCGCGGCTTCAGTCAATGCCAATCTCTAATTCGGAAACCCCACCACGCCCACTCCACCCGTAACGTTCCATCTCTCTCTCTCTAAATCCCCGATTTCTTTCTCACACTCTTGTTTTGCATGAACCAATTGTATTTTACTTCTCAAATGCATATGAATATGAAATAGTAGGGTTCAATTTAAGCTCGTGAACAGCTTTTGATGGCATTGAATGGCTGAGTTTCGAAGATGTCAGTTGTGGAGCTGAAAGAGCTTCACATGGCTGCTTCAGATTCTGTCAATGATCTTAGAGAACGATTGAAGCAGAAGCGTCTTCAGCTTCTTGACACCGATGGTTCGATTTTTTTAACATCTTTCTCTTTCTCATAAATTTGATTTTTGTTTTTCTTTTTTAGCTGATGTTTTTTTAAAAAAAATATTTGTTCCATTTTTTTTAACATTTTTCGCTCCTCTTTTTTTTGTGTTGAATTTACAGTGGCCGAGTATGCTAGGTCGCAAGGGAAGAGTCCCGTTAGCTTTGGCCCAACCGATCTGGTTTGTTGCAGAACCTTACAGGGCCACACCGGGAAGGTAGGGTTTATGGTCGGTTGCTTTTAACTTTGAGATACGGTTATTCAATACTGCGCAGTTCAGGAGCTTCTCTTTTTTTTCTTCCACATTTCGTTTGAATTTTGGCTTGACTTGTTTGTTGTAATTATCGCCTTAAAAAATTTCCTTAGGTCAAATTTCGTTGCTTAGTTTTTGGACTTCTGAAAGGTTTTAAATTTGGAAGTCTTAGAAGTCATAGGATCTAGGGTATGTATTCGATTTGGGAACTTTTAGCTTTTGTTTCTTCAAAAGAACTTGATTGTTTCCGAGAACCTATAGTAGGCAATTTTATAATTATATATGGCTTTTGAACTCTAGTAAACTGTTACAAACAATTAACTACTCGTATCCTTTATTTTCTAATATATTTTTTTTCCATACCCTTGATATGTCTGGTTTTGTTAAACCCAGGTGGAGGCCTTTGAATACCCCATGAAACTATTGTGATTTTTTTGTCGTAATGTTGTTAAATAGCTTTGGAGTTTAATGACCACATTTATTGGCTTTCAGGATTGATATTTGTATTTGCTTTAGTTTCTAAATTCTAATTATGACCCCACTGTCTCTCCTCTTTTTTTATTTTGCATTAGGAAAGAATTTGGACTGTTCTTGACCTTTGAGAGAATGAGTGAAGCATTTAGAGTTTCGTTATGCTTGTGTGGTGTGCTCCTTTAGGGGATGTGCCTTTTTATTTGGACATACTTTCATGGAGTTCTAGAGACATAGGGGATGTTTTGCTAAATTATGGTAGTTGGGTTATGCTTCATTTTTTGTATAATCTCCAAGAAATTTTGCAGGTATATTCACTGGACTGGACTTCAGAAAAGAATCGCATTGTCAGTGCATCCCAAGATGGGAGGTTGATAGTGTGGAATGCTCTCACAAGCCAGAAAACACATGCAATTAAGCTACCTTGTGCGTGGGTCATGACATGTGCATTTTCTCCGAATGGGCAGTCTGTCACCTGTGGTGGCCTCGATAGTGTATGCTCCATCTTCAACTTGAATTCTCCCTCCGATAAAGATGGGAACCTACCGGTGTCAAGAATGCTCAGTGGGCATAAGGGTTATGTATCATCATGTCAGTATGTTCCGGATGAAGATACTCACCTAATAACCAGTTCTGGTGATCAGACATGTGTTTTGTGGGATATAACTACAGGCCTTAGAACATCTGTTTTTGGCGGTGAATTTCAATCCGGCCACACTGGTGATGTGCTGAGGTATGTTGGCCAATCTTCAAAATGTTTTTGAGCTAATTTCTATCATCTATCATGCTAATATCAATTGGACACCTTTTTCTTTTGTTTTCTCTATTTTCCTCCCTTTTAGTGTGCCACCATGTTGAATGTTTTTATGTGCTTGGGTTTCTCTTTAGACTAAATGTACTATTCTTATTCTCATGAACCTGATAAAGTTTATTTTGATGTGCATGTTTCATTTGTCAACTGGAAAATAAAGGAGAAAGAGTCAAGTTTCTACAGGATTTCTATTGACAGGAAATATTTCAACCATTTTCAACTTACTTTTGTATTGAATATGTCATAGATTTGCACTGTGGTTAAAACCTGACTGCTCATACTTTGTTTCTGAATACTGATGGATTAAAATCCTAAATTGGCTATAGCCTCTGCACTCGATCCTTTAACTTATGATTTGGAGTGCATGTTTTTAGTTCAAGTGGTCTGGATTTGACTAAGGTAATGAATATAAAAGTCCATGCAACATCTATTCAGCCACAAACATTGATATCTGATATTTTTTTTGAGGCTTTTTTTTATGCTCAAGATTAATAGAGAGTTGTGTGTGTGCGTATGGTGTGATCCAGTGGAACTTGAGAACGTGTGTAACAAGTATACAAAAGTTTTGAACAGTTAAAACACTTCCCTGTGGTCTTTCTAGTGCTTTTACTCTTATTGCTTATCATGGGATAACTAATGCTATTGCTTGTGGTGGGATAACTACATTATCTCTGTTTGCAACAGTTTTCCTGTGCTCTTTTCAATGCTTTCACTCTAATTTCTTGGCGTGGGTTAGACGAATGCTATTGCTTGTGGTGGGATAACTACATTATCTCTGTTTAATTTTCCCCCTGCATGTTTTATTAGAAAGTACAATTGTATGGAAGCCAATCTTCATTTCGTTTTTTACATTTTCACACTATCCTTTCTTATTGTTGAGCTTCAACTTTTATTTGTTTAATGCTTTTGGAGATATTGTGAAGGTTACATAGTTTTTTGTGAAAAGTTGTGACTTAGCCGATATATTTTCCGGTTTTAATGTAATAATTACCAAGGTCTTCTCACAGATTCGTGTTTTGCATTTATTTTACTATTTCAGTGTCTCTATCAATGGATCAAATTCAAGAATGTTTGTGTCTGGGTCTTGTGATACAACTGCCCGTTTGTGGGACACTCGTGTTGCAAGTCGAGCAGTCCGAACATTTCATGGTCACGAGGGAGATGTTAATGCTGTTAAGTTCTTCCCAGATGGAAATAGATTTGGAACTGGTTCAAATGACGGAACTTGCAGATTGTTTGACATTAGGACTGGACACCAGCTTCAATTGTACTATCAGCCGCATGATGATAATGGTGTTCCTCCTGTGACTTCCATTGCATTCTCCATATCAGGCCGGCTTCTCTTTGTTGGGTACTCCAATGGTGACTGCTATGTTTGGGACACTTTATTGGCAACGGTATATAGTAGCTATATTAGCTTGGTTACGATGCTCATGCATTTACATTTGCGTCAGAATTCTTTTGTATGACACTTGTCAATGTCATCCTGTAGCTTCACAAAAGATTCTTCATCTCTGCACTTTAGGTCCTGAACGTGATTTATTTTTTCTCCTAATAGTATATTTCAATATGGTTGGGCTATCAGTAGTTCACGCAGTTGATAACTTGTGTCGCTGGCGGAAATAAAATCTATGAAATGTTACATGGCCTGTCGTGTGCAATAAAGAGGAAAATTGATTCACTGATGCCAGATACTTTGTCCTTCAACGTTAGGAAAATGAAACTTAGAAAGTTAAAGGGGTTGCTGTATTTCCTCCCACCAGGAAAAGCTGTATGATTTTGTGCATAAGAAGGGGAAATATACACTTCATGATGCGGCAGACCTGAAAATTAATGTTCATTTTTACTAATTTAAGGAAAAATGATTTTATCAAGTTTTTTTGAGTTAATCGTGTGACCACTGCAATTCCTACATTTATTTCTCCCCTTCTATGATGCATGAGTGTGTATTTGTGTCTATCCATGAATAGGTGGCTTTGAACTTGGGATCTCTTCAAAACTCTCATGAGGGTCAGATCAGCTGCTTGGGATTTTCAGCTGATGGGAGTGCCTTGTGTACAGGAAGTTGGGATACAAACCTGAAGGTTAGTCAATAGTGTTTAACACTTTGGTTGGCATTACATTGAGATGCTAATGCTTGTATTCTTTTCTCTTTGACTCAATCGATAGTCATGGTAGATCGTTGTTTGCACAGCAACAACCAGAAAAACAATGCAGTTTTCACTTTGCATTTATTCTTGATTGGTATGATTTTTTGATCACACGGGCAATGATATCTGAGATTTTGCTACAAATTTTTCTCCCTGGCAGATTTGGGCTTTTGGAGGGCATAGGAGGGTGATCTGAGTAATTAAGGCGGCGTTGTCCTATGATTCTCTTTGTCTTTCCAGGTGAATCCCTTTGTAACCCCGGTAACGTGGTTTGAGAGACCATAATGCCGANCTGTCTTTCCAGGTGAATCCCTTTGTAACCCCGGTAACGTGGTTTGAGAGACCATAATGCCGATTGTTTCTGAATGTAATCTTTATGGACCAACAGTTTTAGTAATAAAACGGATAAAATTCTTGGGTAATAACAATTGGAGAGGCCAATTTGTCTGTCTTGATTTCGTCCGACGAGGATGACCAGTCACTATACAGCCGTAACTATTCCAGGAAATACTACATGGGCTTATTCTTCTTACATTAGTCCATATGGTCGTTTTACTCAACAGGCTGCTATTTCTTCATACGCAATTCATCAAACAGATGGCACACGGCAGGCCAATGTATCACCATCAACCTCCGACTGTCATTGCAGTGCACCACAACAGGAATGAAGCTAACAAGTGGGTTCTCTTCATGTGTAGACACCTACAATCAATGCTCTTGCTGCAACTTAGATCGCTTCTAATATTTTTGTTTTTTTATTTCCTTTCTTATTGGATCACGCACCGTAAATTCAAGCAGAACTTACTGTATGTAAGTTGATCCCTTGCTCATCATTGAAAAGCATACAATTTGATAAATTCTGGGTGTCTGTTGTTGAAGTTGAACTCATACAAAAAAACGTGAGTGCTTTGCGCGAGCCTTATTAAATCTTGATCGGTATAAAAAAGATGGGGGGTTCAACCATGTAGATAGATACTTGAATATTTTTTTATTTTTTATTTTATCTAAAAACGTAACATATTGTCATGGTCGCACCATTTGTTATGACATTGAATTCAAGGTGTAAAATAAAATAACTTTAAAAATAATAATTTGATAAATAAGTTTAAAATTATGTTATTTTAATTTAAAAAAATTTAAAATAAACGCGGTAGAAGGAAAATTAGACATAGCTATCTATGTCCAGTTAGTTACTTTTCCCGCTAAAACGCAAAATGGTTCACTTCTTCTATGCATCAACAGCCTCCTTGTTCTCCCTCAACAAAACCCCAATTTCTGCTCTCTCTCTCTCTCTCTCAAGTTCTGTACTTCTCACCATGACAATCTCCGCTACCTCCATCCCTTGGCATCATGAACCCAGAGACCAAAACTTGCAAAAAACCCATCCCCAGAAAACCCAGTCGAGATCCTCACATTCTCGAACCCAATGTAGAATCTTGTTGAAGGACAACACTTGCTTATCTTCGAAACTCGGGCTTACAAATGTTTACTTTACCTACTACTTTTTACATGCTCATCTTTTGAATACCCGTGTTGGAAAACTAGAATAGAAAGTAAGGTTTTTTTTGCGAGGAGTTGGGTTTTCTCATGAAGAATCGCCTAGGGTTTGTGCCAGCGATATTTTTGGGAAAATAATAGGCATTCATTTGCTTTTGAAGCTGAGGAGTGTTGGGATCTCTTTGAAAAGAATGATGTTGTGGAGTGACGAAAAGTTCTACGCGAAATAGAAGTAAAATTGGTAATGTTACTCCTCAATCCTGAGATTTTTCATCTTTTTAGTTCATGTGTGTGGGTGTGGGTGTGCGTGTAGGTTTTTTATTTATCCCACACCCATTAAGTGATTTATGGCATATTTAAAGATCGCTTAATTGGGGTTGCCATCAATTTCTGCCATAAGTAATTGGATCCAATTTTTAGGAAAGGTCTTGGTGCAGCAGTAAGGTTGGTTCATCGTGGCATGGGCAGGTTCTGAGTCATGGAGTCAATCTCTCTGCTAATGGGTTAGGACCTCCACAGTGATAGGATCTAGGAGTCTAGTGTATCGTTCTGCTTTTTTTTAGGAAACAGGAGATATTTATTGATTTTGCTATCTCTTTTCTCATTCTGATGACTTTGCATTGCAATCCATCCATTTTAGAAACTGAAAACAGATAATCTCATGCATTTCTCGAACAAACCTCGGATTTGAAGAGCATTTGATTATTTTTCGTATCATAAACGAATCTCTGGTTTGCCTGTTGGTGTGCTCCAATTACACTCTTGATATCACCAGGTATCATAGCCAAACAAAAATATTCACGATGCGTTGATGAATGATATTTATCCACAACTTGAAAGACGCCCCAAGGCCGGACTAAAAGGTCAGCATTCAATCCTTGGAAATGGAATGTGATTGATGGAAGGTTTTGAAAACCTTCCGGCTTCTTTCTCTCGTAGCATAAATTTGCACCCCGCTGACTGCGGTACCTACTCAAGTTTTTAAATCTTGAAAAATGATTTTCCAGCTCTCTTTTTAGTATCTCATAAGCAGGCCTGATAAGGCGTGAATATGTTGTACCATTGTCTATTATGCATCCTCCAGTACTGCCATTTCTTCCCAAAGCAAACACTGCTGCATCTATATTAAGTCTTCGCCCATTGAGGCTAATGCCTCTCAAATCTAGGAAGTATTGTCCTCTGTTGTTAATATGTTTCAATGGTGTTCTTGCTAAACCTCGTTGTTCGGGTATATCTGCACCGAACCTTAGATATGTCATCGGTATCCTTGGAACTGGCCGAATGTATTGATTAAGTACTGGAAGGCAGTATGAAAATCTTCCATCACTCACAGAGTGAATCTGATTCACAAACGAGAACTGACCCCATCCTAGACCCATTATTCCTGCAATTTTATTATTGTTTGCACCGGAAAATCTCATGTAGTTATCACTACCGCAACCAAAGACCAAGCTCTCGACCTTTTCGATATTGGTAGTATTGGAATTGAAAGAGAAAGTTTCTTTTGAAAGAATGCCATATGTGTAGCTTTTGTCTACATACCTTACAGAGTAGGAACAATACTTCCCATCGCATATTTTTGGTATGCAAAGTCTGTCCTCACAGAGAATTGGGCGATAAGATTTTGAGCTATTCTTAGGGAAAGGCCCTGGTGTCTGATTGAAGCACCTTGTACAACCCTCACACTGTGTCCATGATGTGCTGCTGCCGGTATCCATTAACAAGTAGTATTCTTTGTATGTCGGCTTGGCCTTGAATGTGCCAATGCCAATTTTTACTATGTAATTGGAAGTTTGAGCATCAACTTGTGGACGCACCATTTGAGGATGTAGAGAATTAGTTGACACATTAGACAGGTAGCTAGAAGGAGCATCGTATTGCACTATGAATTTTTCTTTTTTGTCTTTGCGGGTAAGGCTACTTTGGAAGAAAGGTGATTCGGGGGAGTCCTGGTGAATAAGGCTCAGGGTCAAGCCATTAGGTTTTCCACCCNGGGTAAGGCTACTTTGGAAGAAAGGTGATTCGGGGGAGTCCTGGTGAATAAGGCTCAGGGTCAAGCCATTAGGTTTTCCACCCACTAGAATCAAGGTTGACACAAGGTAGAGAGGAAACAATGCCATCATTTTTGAAGCATTTGACAGAATTACATGAAGGTTAGTCTCCCAAGATGTTTTATGGTGGGTGATGAATAAAAGGTTATTTAATGGTTTTTTCCTCATTATAATCATGCTATCTCAATATTAGCACATAATTAATGAAGAGTGAATATGCATCACCCACACACACACCAAAAAAAACAAAACCAGTAGTGATGTTCAAGAAACATTTTAACTTCTGCAATCAAACGTTATTCCAAAAAAAAATTGGGGTGAAATTTAACTAAGAACCTCTAAATCTAAAATTTTTGGGGATATTTTCAATAAATAATATTTTTTATATTGTTAATATGTGAAAAAAAAAACCCTTCACATGCCCATGTCCAGCTATGGCCCTCACGACACGAATTTAAAAATTGTATGACTACTTAACAAGAATAATAATATGTTGAATATGGATAATCTGATTTTGACATGATATACATGTTTAACTGATACTGCAAGAAAAAGATGTCTAATTTTTTTTTTTGCTTTTCTTTTCGGTTCATGAACTCGTAATGATATAAAACATTATAAAAATGTTTGATTTTTGTTTTTATTTTTTTAGAATGAAGACGAAATATATATTTTTTCCATGTATAGTGATCTATTGTGGCATAGATTTGGATGAGAGAAAGAGTTCCTCAATTCTAGTGTAAATAAACAGGTTATGAAAATAATAGGAATGGCACGATCGAAAAATGACACCCTTCTCCCCAACCCCTGCCATCCCCAAAATGCTAATTTCCAATCTCTCTTCTTCCTGACATCCTCTCCTTCTAATTACGGAAAAAAGACATCCACCCCTCTTCCTCAAGTCTCACATTTCAAATCCCTTGGCATCATTAACTCATACATCACAATTTAAAAAACCTATTAGTATGGATCCTCTCCAACTTTTATAAACACGTAGTCGAGGACTATTTATTTTACGTTTGTTTTCGATTTCCTATTATTTAAAATTAGGTGTCGTTATACATCCATACATAGTCTATTAGCGTTTATTTTATATTTGTGATATTACATGTTCAAGTAAATTATTTGGGGTTAGTATTACAATTTGGGATCCGAAATTTAGATAGCGGGCCCATCTTGTTTGGAATCACTATATCCGGATCGTGAGTCCTTAGGGGGTTTAGTGATATCGGCTGATCCCATTAAGAAGAACATTGTTGTGGAGTGCTGAGAGGTTCTATGCGAAATGGTGGTAAAATTGGTAAGGATGCTGCTCACTCCTGACATTTTTTTTCTGCTTTTAGTTCATGTGTGTGTGTTTTACATATCCCACATCCATGATATGGTTTATAGCTGGTTTTCAGATTGCTTAAATTGGGATTGCTATCAATTTCTACCACGCTTAATTTGCTCCAGGTTTTCAGAGCAGGCCTTGGTGTAGCACAGCAGTAAGTTGGTATATTGTGACTTTAGTAGATTCAGGTCACGGCATCAGTTTCTCCACACATAGGTTAAGACTACTTTCTAGACTCCACAGCAGTGGCAGTCTAGTGCATTGTTCTTTTACAGGAAAGAGTATCATAGTCATAGTTTTTGCCGTCTCACTCCCATTCCAACGACCTTTGCATTTCAATCAATTCACTTTAGAAACTCAAACCAAAAATGCGAATCAATCATCTCATGCATTTTTAGAACAAACCTCTGGGTGGAAGAACAGTCGGTTATTTTTCATATCATAAATGAATCTCTGGTTTGTCTGTTGGTGCGCTCCAATTACGCTGTTGACATCACTTGGAGCCATAGCCAAACAAAAATATTCCCGATTGTTTGGTGAATGATACTTATCCACAACTTCGAAGCATCCCTCAGACTGGACAACAAGATCGGCATTCAATCCTTTGAAATGGAAAGTGATTGATGGAAGGTTTTCAAAACCTTCTGGCTTCTGTCTTTCGTAGCAGAAATTCACCCCCAGTTGACTATTACCCCGGAACCTCCTCAAGTTACTAAATCTTGAAAAGTGTTTTTCCAGTTCTCTTCTTAGTATAACATAGGCTGGCTTGATAATTCGTGTATATATCGTGCCACTGTCTATTATGCATCCCCCTCTATAGNTTACTAAATCTTGAAAAGTGTTTTTCCAGTTCTCTTCTTAGTATAACATAGGCTGGTTTGATAATTCGTGTATATATCGTGCCACTGTCTATTATGCATCCCCCTCTATGGCCAGTTCTTCTCAAAGCAAACACTGCTGCATCTATATTAAGTTTTCGCCTGTTGAGGCTAATGCCTCTCAAATCTAGGTGGTATTGTGATTGGTTTTCAATTCGTTTCAATGTTGTGCTCGATAGACCTCGTTTCTGGGGTATATCTGCACCGAACCTTAGGTATGTCATCGGTATCCTTTGTCTTGGACGACGAGTGTATTGGTTAATTACTGGAAAGCAGTATGAAAATCTCCCATCACTTACAGAGTGAATTTGAGTCACAAACGAGAATTGACCCCATCCCAGACCAATTATTCCCGCAACCTTATTAGTATTTTGATCGAGAAACCTTATGTTGTTCTTCTTACCGCAACCAAAGATCAAGCTCTCGACCTTTTCAATCTTAGAAGTATTAGAATTAAAACAGAAAGTTTCTTTTGCAAGAATGCCATATGTGTAGCTTCCATCCAGGTACCTTACAGAGTAGGAACAGTACTTCCCATCACATATTTTTGGTCTGCAAAGCCCGTCTTCACAGAGAATAGGGCGAAAAGATTTGGAGCTGTTCTTAGGGAAAGGGCCCGGTGTCTGTTTGAAGCACCTTGTACAACCTTCACACTGCATCCATGATAGGGTGCTACCAGTATCCATTTCCAGGTAGTATTCTTTGTACGTTGGCGTGGCCTTGAATGTGCCGATGCCAACTTTAACTATGTAACTGAATGATTGAATATCAACTTGTGGACGAACAATTTGAGGGTGTACTGAATTTGATGACACATTAGACAAATAACTAGCGCGATGATTGGATTGACTGACGAATTTCCCAGTTTTCTCTTTTTTGCAGGTAAGGCTACTTTGGAAGAAAGGTGAGTCGGGGGAATCCCGGTGAATGAGCCATAGGGTTAAGCCATTAGGTTTTCCACCCACACTACCCACCAGAAAGAGGGTTGACACAAGGGTGAGAGAAAACAATGACATTATTTTGGCAATGTCACTTTGAAGCATTTGACAGAATTATGTAAAGGTTGGTTGGTTGGTTGGTCTCATTAGATGTTTTATAATGGGGGTGATGAATAAAGGGTGTTATTAAATGGTTTTTTCCTCATTAAAATCATACTTTCTCTATATTAGCATCTAATTAATGAATGCGNTTGGCAATGTCACTTTGAAGCATTTGACAGAATTATGTAAAGGTTGGTTGGTTGGTCTCATTAGATGTTTTATAATGGGGGTGATGAATAAAGGGTGTTATTAAATGGCTTTTTCCTCATTATATTAGCATCTAATTAATGAATGTGATTGCCTTTCTAGATAAAAACTTGTTTTGGCCTGGAAGTGAATGGTTCATACTAAACTATACACTTCTTTTCTGTACAGTTAAACTTGAAAGGAGAGAACAAGTTCGGACAATTAATTTGTAAAAAAAACAAATATGCAAAATAAATTCTAGTTGATAAAATTACTTGGAAAACTTGAAAAAAAAGCCCATAAAATGTTAGCTTCCTTTTGGATGATTTCGGNACTTCTTTTCTGTACAGTTAAACTTGAAAGGAGAGAACAAGTTCGGACAATTAATTAGTAAAAAAAACAAATATGCAAAATAAATTCTAGTTGATAAAATTACTTGGAAAACTTTAAAAAAAAAGCCCATCAAATGTTAGCTTCCTTTTGGATGATTTCAGAAAAATGTCAAGCTTATCTAGACTGATGTTACATCTATGTTGGATGCTTTCAGGAACACTTTTAAGCTTATCTAATGTTACCTTTTCTTTTGGATGATTTCAGAAACAATTTCAAACTTATCTAGACTCTAGCTTGTATAATAAGAACCTCCAATTTAACACTCTTGTGTCAAAAGAATTACATCTTTCATTCAATGTAAAGAGGTACCTTTGCGTAGTCTTGATCCACAGCGAAGGATTCAGTACGGATGCCTCACTACAACATAAAAAATTCAATTAACTAATAGATAAACCATTCTATAATCTGAACTTTCCTTAAGCAACAAATCTCTCTTTTTGCAACTCTAGGCTCTCTTTCTTTATAGTTTAACCTGAGCTTTCAACGTACTTTTGTAGTATAGGCCTTCGCCACTTCAAATGGGCACTTCGTCCCTGGCTTTGGCTTTACTCATTCAAGGAGGCTGATGGTGAAAAGTCAATTAATAATAAACATCATACATAAAAGCTCATTTGGACTCCTATTGATTCTGCATACAACTTGAACACTTTTGCTGCCAAACTGACCGCCTTGGAAATAGGAAAAGACTCCCAAAAGTAAGCTTTGATGGTGCCTGAACGAGAGGATCACTACCGTGCTCTTATTCACCAAAACACACTAGATGCAAGGAAGAGTAAAGCCGTTCTTTTCAATTAATTTTTTTTATAATACGTACAAAAATGACCAATTTGTTGATCCACCGGAAAAATTGTCTTGAAAATCCCTTCACCTATGTGAGCAGCCGTAAATAAAACAGCCTAGATGGAACCTACATTTAGCTTTTACCAAAAATAAAACAAACCGTAGTTCCCGTTGACCTCCATTCCATAGTGACTTGGGTAGTTCACTATTGGATATTCCCAACGCAAAGCACATCCGAGAAAAGAGAAACCACCATTCATCAATGTAACCAGCTAGCCGCTAGCTACAATATCATGGATGGCATCACTAACGGATTCATCTTCAGATCTAACAGCCAGCTTCATTGCTACCTCTTTTGGCCCATCAATTCCAAAGGACAACCGGACAAGTACCTTTGCATTGCCTATGTACACACCCGACAACAAACATGTATGCGATCTTGAATTACTCGGAACCACCTCTGTGCCCTGAAATACAAGAAGAAAAAGAGAAACAAAGGGGGGAAAAGTTACTCTTTCAGCTTTCCACAAAAGCACAACAGCAGCAGCAAAACTGGTAGTTCTTGTTGCAGTGTAGTAGCATAATAGTAATACATTAGTAGAAGAGTTGAAACTTCTTGATTGTTTTTACTGGGTAGAAGCTAGTCAATAGAAAAGCCATGTTCACGCAGAAAGTGTTACATGAAACTTAAATAAAAGAGGAGGGAAGCAAAGGTCAATGGATTCACACATTTAATTTGCAGTTGCAGTTGGGATTTAATTTGCCCAATATCTCTAAAGCTGATAGGAGTGTAAACTGATTACAAGGATGAGCAAATTCCAAGGTATAGAAACTGCTCTTCAGCATCCAAATTTGACAAAGGAGACATTCTAAGGTATGGTTATCCACTGAAGCCCAATGTTCCCATATTACAAGTTCTACATCTCCTTATGTTAAAAGCCATGACTACATTTTCCAATTTTCCAAATTTGAAGAGGTCAGAACATTTTTCAGCAAAGATGCAAACCAATAAAGGAATTACCTCACAGGGCTGCATGCCAAGGAGGTTGATGACCGTACTCACAGCTTCTGCCAAGCTTTCCCTTGGGCCAAGACCATACTCATCTATCCGCTCATAATCAGGGCCCATGCTTTCCCAGGCATTCCTGAAATTGGATACCCCAACTTTTAGCATGTAATCTGCTGCAACAACCTCAAGGTCTTCCAGCTGGTATTCATCTTCCACACCATCATCCTCAGCTTCACCAGTAGATGGATCAACCTGGAAAGACAACCCAATGACTAAGCAGGGAAAACATCGCATCTCTCACCACATCCACGTAACCTCGTAAGAAGAATAATGGCCTTTACACATACCAAAGGAAGACAAACATAACTGTACAAAAGAAAGATATATGCAAATTCTGTGATGAATTGGACAACAGAGTCTGTAGATGCTTATGGGGGGTATGGATGTCCCATTTGTGGGAACATCTAAGTATGGTCGAACATCAATTAGTAGACCAGTAATGAACTACAAATAGAAAATAATCAACGAATGTAAGTCCCAGATAAGTGTGCAGTTCCCTTGTTCCTGCAAATCTTTAGAAAGATGGCTACAGGAGTATGAAAAATAATTTAACCAAGTAAATGAGAGTAACATAGGTAATGCTGAGTCCAGACCAATTTTTTAGCCCTTTGAAATGAACAGAGACATGTACACCGTTACCAAACTATATTCCACACAATCCCAGGGCATGTTGGACATGTGTTCGTACATGTGATGAATGACACCAACACAGCCACTTTCGAGAAGTATCCATGTAATAGAGGATATTTAGCAATCATCAACTGCAATGAGCAACACAGAGAAGATGCCAGACATCCTCCCGCACAGGTGAGAAAAAGTACCTCTTTAACGATGAACCTCAACATGTTTGAGAATTTTCCAACAGCAGGGACACCTTCTGGTTTCTCAAACGCCACAAATGTCTGTCCTGGTGAATCATATGGAAGGGCTCTTAATGGCTTGGATGCTAGTTCAGAAAATTCCTCGGCTTCTGAAGCATCCACAATAACAGTGACCTGGTAACACGGACATGAGAATTGAGCAAGGAGTCGCCAATTGGGCTCAACAAAATGAAGTACTGCCTTTGGAAATTGTCATTACATTTTCCAGTAACTGCTCAGGAATTGTATTGATGCAATTGTACTGAAAGACAACATGGCTATCAAAAATGTGTTTGACAACATTAACTGCATATTCTGTTTCAGCTTCTGTAAGCTCCACAGGTGCCGAGGACTGGATCAAATTAAAAAGAAATTCAAAAAAATTTCTGAATCTTCAAAATATCAAAATGAATCACGAAATGTATGGAAATAGGGTTCAGTCATACAACCTTGAAAAGCCTTCCAAAGTTTGAGAACTCTGGAATAGAAGATAGCAACATTTCATAGTTATCAACTGTGGATGCAGGAACAGTAGGAGGAGCACCCAAACCAGTTGGCTTTTTACCCGGGGCTTTCTTCTCGGCAAGAGGCTGAGATTTAACCTCCTTGGGTACAGAATCAATATCAAAAGGATCATCTGAGGGCTCCTGTATCTGTACCAAAAACGAGATCATTGCTTCTACAGCACACAACAGATAAAGAACTATTGAGACAGAAACTCAGCAAGACCACTCACATAGTTCTTCAAACTTGTCTCTAGGTTGACCAGTGGGACATCCAGTGACCCAAACAGGAATTCCTTCACATCTTTATTGCCTTCAACAATTGAACTATCTTCTGTAATAGTATTCAGATACAGAGTAGCCCGATCACGGACCTGCGAACAGATTGCACAAGCCTTTTTCAGAAAACAGAAAGGCACAGTAAGAGAGCAGCATACCACTGGAATGCTAATACATAAACAAAGATGGTCAATTAACCACAGAATTGGATCAACCTAAATGCGTCTCTAGTGGACACAGAAATGGAGAATTCAGAGCCTAGAGGCCTCATACATGGAACAGCAGAACCTTACGTACTACCTCATACAAAGTATTGACACGTTCAGTTGGATGACAGACAGCCAAAGCATGTCTTTCCAAAGTATGTTTGAAAGAACAATATTACATGCAGAAATAACCATCGGCTTCCATATTCCAAGCAACAGAAGGAAACATCAATAAGTACAATAACAAGAAAGAACAGAGCANAAAGATATATGCAAATTCTGTGATGAATTGGACAACAGAGTCTGTAGATGCTTATGGGGGGTATGGATGTCCCATTTGTGGGAACATCTAAGTATGGTCGAACATCAATTAGTAGACCAGTAATGAACTACAAATAGAAAATAATCAAGGAATGTAAGTCCCAGATAAGTGTGCAGTTCCCTTGTTCCTGCAAATCTTTAGAAAGATGGCTACAGGAGTATGAAAAATAATTTAACCAAGTAAATGAGAGTAACATAGGTAATGCTGAGTCCAGACCAATTTTTTAGCCCTTTGAAATGAACAGAGACATGTACACCGTTACCAAACTATATTCCACACAATCCCAGGGCATGTTGGACATGTGTTCGTACATGTGATGAATGACACCAACACAGCCACTTTCGAGAAGTATCCATGTAATAGAGGATATTTAGCAATCATCAACTGCAATGAGCAACACAGAGAAGATGCCAGACATCCTCCCGCACAGGTGAGAAAAAGTACCTCTTTAACGATGAACCTCAACATGTTTGAGAATTTTCCAACAGCAGGGACACCTTCTGGTTTCTCAAACGCCACAAATGTCTGTCCTGGTGAATCATATGGAAGGGCTCTTAATGGCTTGGATGCTAGTTCAGAAAATTCCTCGGCTTCTGAAGCATCCACAATAACAGTGACCTGGTAACACGGACATGAGAATTGAGCAAGGAGTCGCCAATTGGGCTCAACAAAATGAAGTACTGCCTTTGGAAATTGTCATTACATTTTCCAGTAACTGCTCAGGAATTGTATTGATGCAATTGTACTGAAAGACAACATGGCTATCAAAAATGTGTTTGACAACATTAACTGCATATTCTGTTTCAGCTTCTGTAAGCTCCACAGGTGCCGAGGACTGGATCAAATTAAAAAGAAATTCAAAAAAATTTCTGAATCTTCAAAATATCAAAATGAATCACGAAATGTATGGAAATAGGGTTCAGTCATACAACCTTGAAAAGCCTTCCAAAGTTTGAGAACTCTGGAATAGAAGATAGCAACATTTCATAGTTATCAACTGTGGATGCAGGAACAGTAGGAGGAGCACCCAAACCAGTTGGCTTTTTACCCGGGGCTTTCTTCTCGGCAAGAGGCTGAGATTTAACCTCCTTGGGTACAGAATCAATATCAAAAGGATCATCTGAGGGCTCCTGTATCTGTACCAAAAACGAGATCATTGCTTCTACAGCACACAACAGATAAAGAACTATTGAGACAGAAACTCAGCAAGACCACTCACATAGTTCTTCAAACTTGTCTCTAGGTTGACCAGTGGGACATCCAGTGACCCAAACAGGAATTCCTTCACATCTTTATTGCCTTCAACAATTGAACTATCTTCTGTAATAGTATTCAGATACAGAGTAGCCCGATCACGGACCTGCGAACAGATTGCACAAGCCTTTTTCAGAAAACAGAAAGGCACAGTAAGAGAGCAGCATACCACTGGAATGCTAATACATAAACAAAGATGGTCAATTAACCACAGAATTGGATCAACCTAAATGCGTCTCTAGTGGACACAGAAATGGAGAATTCAGAGCCTAGAGGCCTCATACATGGAACAGCAGAACCTTACGTACTACCTCATACAAAGTATTGACACGTTCAGTTGGATGACAGACAGCCAAAGCATGTCTTTCCAAAGTATGTTTGAAAGAACAATATTACATGCAGAAATAACCATCGGCTTCCATATTCCAAGCAACAGAAGGAAACATCAATAAGTACAATAACAAGAAAGAACAGAGCAGATATATCTCTGCCATTTTCCAGAACAGAAAAGAGAACCAGTAATAAAAACTACACAATTTAACCATTTGGAAGCTTTACTAGGCTAAAACAACTTTAGTAAGCCAAGTTCTCAAACTATTTCATGGACAATTTTTCAGTCTAATCTTCAAAAAAAACTTAAAAAACATGTTGGTAAACTTTCCATGATCTTGATGAAGAAGTAAAAAGCACTTTGTAATATCTTACATATATATAGTTAAACATAAATATCAAAAATATTAAATAGCATAAACCAAAAGCTGACCTCATCATCACTGTCATAGAGACAGCGCCTCAACAAGACAAATATACGCGGCTGCAACACAATAAAACCACAAAAGTCCACTCCAAGTTAGGAGCCCACCAAGCAATCCCAGTGCATGTTTGTAGATTAAAAGAAAGCAAGCTTACCTTCAAAGAATCAACCATAGCAGCAAACATTGCCAATGTGCTCACAGCACTGGCACGAACAGTTGCATTCTCAAGTATTACTCGATTATAGATATACCTTATGTATTTGCTAGGATCTGAGGTCTTTGGTCCCTCAATTCCAAGAAAGTGGAGTATCTAATAAGGAAAGGAAGAAGTAAAGTTCATGAAAAGAGCTTAGGACAATCATAAACACCTAAGTGCAGCAAAAGAGAAACACTATGAACGAAACAAATAGAGTAGCAATAGGAGATAACATTTCAACCTGTGTAGAAAGATAGGTAAATTCACAATCCTCAATAAATTCACATAGATGAAGCAACCCAATTTCTTTTGCCTCCGGTATATCTCTTATGAGGATCACAATAGAATCAATAATTGCCTTCTTGTACTCAAATCCACCTTCTTCCCTCAGTATATTGCTTAAGAAATTCATCCTAAAAAGAGAATGACAAGATATACGATATCAAATACAAAGCAACCAAAAAAAACTACAAGACATTTTGGACAATAAAGAGCAACATGAAAACTGAAGTCCCAATGAGAATATGAAGCACAAATGGCATCTCTAAGACCGCCATTATATGCTTAGTCTAGATTCACTCACAGGGATCTGTATTTGAGGGGGAACTTCAAACACAATGATCTGATGGCTTCCACCACAACAATCTTGAACTCATCAGCAATGTCGGACATGAAATTAGTAATTTGTTTCATCAAGCGTTCGACACTAGATTCATTGCCCGTTTTTAGCAGTGTGGTGATAGCAAGAGTTGCTATGCTTCTATTTTGATCAGAAATCAAACTCTCCATATCTATATTGCAATTTGTTACGGCCATAGGATGTGTCATTGCTACCTGCAGATAATTCAAATTCGTAACCAGTTAGAACAATGTTTTTGTCATGTCCCACCCAAAATTGAGATGACTAGAAGAAATCAGAATCAGAGGAAACAAATTTCTCCCTAGGGGAAGATAAAAGTGCTAGGGTTGAAAATCGCTGGAAAAAGTTATTTGGATATGAAATTTCAGCAAAACCAATTCTAGATAAATGAATGCGGGCTCCAATTTTTTTGAAGCTACTTCCACTCAAGATACAAAATTGAGCTTTCTGTTTTCACGGAACTTTATTGAAATAGCAGAAGCCCTTTTGTCGATTCCACAAAATTTCTAATGCTGAAGTTTCCTTTCTAGTTATTATAGTTTCAAATCCTTCCAACTTTCCTAAAGCCATCAAAGGACCTAATCAAAATGTTTCTTACTAATAACATTATCAAGGTTCCANAGCTTTCTGTTTTCACGGAACTTTATTGAAATAGCAGAAGCCCTTTTGTCGATTCCGCAAAATTCCTAATCATCATTATCACTAGGTGATTATTCCACAACAGAAAGCATTACCAGGCAACAACACAAAATACTCATGCTCCACTATTATCTTTCAACCACTTGATCATTTTGTAAATATAAATGAAGTTATGGCTGCACTAATGATTTCTAATGCTGAAGTTTCCTTTCTAGTTATTATAGTTTCAAATCTTTCCAACTTTCCTAAAGCCATCAAAGGACCTAATCAAAATGTTTCTTACTAATAACATTATCAAGGTTCAAATGGCTCCAACACCTAATGTAAAGGTTTTCGTCAAGTGGAGAACATTTCAGTTTTCAAACTCAGAACCACTCTGATGTCTGAAGTACAATTTTGGAACAAACGATATGATCTCAATAGAAAAGACCATCTAAATGCATTCATGTCTTTGTCATGACCTACTGCTACGATTGTTCTTCAATTTTAACTTCTGGACAANGGAGAACATTTCAGTTTTCAAACTCAGAACCACTCTGATGTCTGAAGTACAATTTTGGAACAAACGATATGATCTCAATAGAAAAGACCATCTAAATGCATTCATGTCTTTGTCATGACCTACTGCTATGATTGTCCTTCAATTTTAACTTCTGGACGAGAAGCCTCCATATCATATAAGAATAAATAGATAAGAGAAAAAAACAAGGGAGAAAAGGTGAACTACAACAAACAAAAATCATCTATATGCCAGATTACAAACATATTAACCATAGGAGCAGTTTTTTTGGATCAATTTTAAGAAGTCACCTTATTCAAAGTTCGGACAGCTGCAAATCGAAGCACAGGCTTAGAGGAACTCAAGAAGAGTTGTAGAACAGTAATTGCTGGAGTCAATTCGCGACTAGTCACACCACTTAACTCTGTGATTGCTCTAGCTGCTTCAAAAATAACCATTTCAGCTTTGTGGCGAAGACAGCCCTCAAGATAGTCATAGAATGGACGGTCCCCAGTTTGGTTACTCACACTTGATTCTCTGATAACCTAAAGACATTTGTCATGAAATTCTTAAGTTGATTGATAATATGGAAACCACAAAGGATAGTCACCCAGCATAAACTCTAGGTTTCAACATAAAAAAATACCTGGCTAGTATAACGAATCAAGAGACATTGAGCCAAAGGTGAACGGACAGTCCCCCTTGTCAGGCTGGTAACCAGCTTGCTGACAGCTAATCGATCATTTTGTCGTATCTGCAAGGTTGATAAATTTTGTTAATTACAACAAACAAATCATATCCACGGCCTTTGACCGAACTACTCTTCGAAATCATAACGTAGTATAAGATGAGTGGAAAGCTGAAACCATAAAATTAACCATTGATTTTTCTTTTTTCTTTGCTTGCAGATTTTAAGATATATGTTCACTAGTCCATGTATACTCAACAGGATAACCCAAGACATATGTCCACTTGTCCATGTATACTCAACAAGATAACCCAAGACACTACACGGGTAAGATAAATTCTGTTCTCCAAGAATAGACTATTTTTGGAAGTAAAAGCAAACACTAGATTTGAAAAAGGAGGCCACAACTCAATACTCGTCAATTACGTGAAGGTCGTCTCTACAATGCAATCCACATTCCACATGCAAAGCAAGGGGCTAAAATGAGGGACACAAAAATACATCTCCCATTTACTTAAATCGTCAATCAGGAAATATAAAAGTTCTTGAACAGCACATACGAGATGGGTTTTTTGTGGTGACAGATCAAAAGGTTAAACATCCCTTTCTATGTGGATGGTTTTTGTTTTTTTTTTTTTTTTTTTTTGGGGGGGGGGGGTTCAGGCTCTGTGTGTGTGTGTGTGTGAGAGAGAGAGAGAGAGAGGGTGTATGGCCTTCTGTATGGAGCATAGAGAAAAGCATAAGGATCTTGTATTGTCATTAGGGGTGTCAATCGTGTCGGGTTAAACGGGTGAAAAACGTATAAACCCATACACGACACGTTTAATAAACGGGTAAAAAATCTCAACACGAATACGACTCGTTTAATAAACGGGTAACACGACACGACTCGTTTAACCTGTTTAATTTTAAAAAAATTATATCAACAAATTTTAATACTCCATTTTATTACTACTAATTGCACTTCTCTCAAAAAAGAGGAATTTTAAATCAAATTTCATAAAAATAAGACTTAAGACTTTAAAAACAAAAACAAGAGGCTATTGCATTTTATACGCAACTCACCCTCCCCATTTCCCCTCATTTTTCAATGTGGGACAAAAACAAAAGATATTGGTTTGCCTTTGTCTTTCAAATGCTCTACAACTCCTTTCCTTTGTCTTTGAAAAATAAGACTTGAAGGCTTTAAAAATAAAAGCAAGAGGTCATTGTCTTTTATAGGCAACTCAACTCTCCCCATCTCCCCTCATTTTTCAATGTGGGACAAAAACAAAAGACATTTGTTTGTCTTTGCCTTTGAAGTGCTCTCTAACTCTTCTCCTTTATCTTTAAACTACTATTTTATTTTTATTTTATTAATTTCTTTACTTCTTTTTTCTTGCTAATTTTTAAAAATAATTATTAATTTATTATTATATTAATTTTATTTAAACGGATAAACATGTGATAAACAGTTTGACAGGTCTCACCCGAACACGACCCGTTTATTAAACGTGTTTGGCGTGTCAACTCGTTTATCACTTAAACCCGTTAAGATCTCACCCAAATCCGTTTAATTCGTGTCGTGTCGAATTTTGACAGCCCTAATTGTCATCAAGCAAAACAAAATCACATCACTAAGCATCTGTGATATATAGCAAGTGGCCTAAAGAGTTAGCCACTACACTTTGCTAGGGAATCTCCAAAAAATCTATACGAGGCTGTGGGAACCAACCACAGAATTTGCCGGCAGACCACAACCTAAGGACCATTAAAGACTGACATGAAACTTGCTGTGAGACCAATTTAATGGCACAATTGTGATTAGCAGGAAAAAACAGCACAACTGACATGCAGCATAACTATATCTACAGTTTTTACAAATGAAAGGTGGTATCAAGTAATAAAAAATTAATCAAATAGTAGTCAAAAGTCAATTTCATTAAACAAACAAATTGTTATGTTGTAGGCATTAGTGTTGTGAAAAGATCGCCTAGGCGAGAAGCAAGACGAGGGTCTGTCACCTTGAGCACCCCAGGCGAAGCGAATATGATTGAGATGAGAAAAATGCGAGAAAAGCGATGCCTTTGGCAAATTTTTTAAGTCATTTTATTTTTTTATTATGGACCGTTGGATTTTTTTATTTTTGTTATGGACTGTTGGATTCATGGTTCCAAGTCGCAGTATCGACCATCGACTCGGAGGGCACTAATACACATCGATCGCGGCGCTGTATCTGTCGATACGCTCAAAATACTGGATAAAAGCTCCAAAAAAATTTTAAAAAATTATGAAAAATTCTAAAAATATAAATATCATCATTCATGCATCATATGTTTACAATTTATCAAAAAATACATTAAAAGTAATTAAAATGAAATAGAAAGACGCTATCGAAAATAATTATCATTATCAATGTTTAAAGTAAGTAATTAAGAACATATCATCATTATTAATGTCTCTAGGATAATACAAATTGAGATAATTTTCAACATAAGAATAATAATTTAGTATTTGATTTAAAATATAATGCTTCAAATATTTATTTAAAAAATAAATAATTTGACTATCTAACTATTACATTAAATATTTTATTGATTTATTAAAGAGTAAATTTAATCTAAGTAAACTTGGGTAAAAAGTGAACTCAAAAATCAGTTACCCAAAAATAAAATAAATTAACCACTCGAAGAAAAATAAATTAACCATATTTTAATAATTTTTTTTTTTACCATCACATAAACTCAATACTAAATAGACTAAATAGAAAGGTGTGACCATATTACAAACCCCAAATCCTTCACAAAAACAAACCTATCAATATGGTTCACAGTTTAAGTTAATAAATTAACCATAATCAATGAGTCTAGTGGGTTTGCCATCGTGGGTCTGAGAAAAACTCTCAGACAAGAGAGAGAGAGAGAGAGAGGCGAGACTCTTTAACTAGAGACAAGAGACGAGAGACCAACAGAGAAGAAGAGAGAGGAACCGAGGGAGTCAGGCTGTTAGGGACTATTCGAGACTTCGATGATGCTGGGTTTGTGACTGCGATGATGCGGGGTCTTTGCTACGATCTGTGACTACGATGATGTTGGGTCTTTGCTGCGATTTGTGACTGCGATCGATGATGGTGGGTCTTTCGATTTTTGTGGGTTTTCTTAAACTTCATCTCATCCTTGTTTTTTTTTTTTTTGGAAATTTCCTTACTATTAGTGGACTATTCTGTGCGAATCAGCCAAGTTGGAGCCGACTCACTATGAATTTTGTCCATTTCTTCTTCCTTTCTTAGTTTTTTTTTGCTACCCAGATTTTCCAAATCTGGTTGCACTATAGCAGTCTGACTCGGTTTGACTCGGCCGAGTCTAACCGATTTAACTCCGAGTTGGGCCGATACTACCGAGTTGTAACCGAGTTAAGACCGATTCAGTTGAATCTTGTTATATTGGTGTAATGTGTATCGTTATCGGCTCGACAACTGCTGAGACGAATATGACTCGGCCGAGTTGAATCGGACTCGGCCGATACTTTGAACCATGGTTGGATTGGGGCAATTGGAATAAAATTATGACATACCAACACACCCCATTGCCCCCTTTTCCCAATATATATAACCCAAACCCTAAATTTGCGATAGAAAGTGCTGGTTGTTTCTGCTACTACTACTCCTTGAAGAAGTCGCGACTGGTTTGCCCTTGGCCCTCTCTTCTTCTTCTCTATTAAGGTCGAAAGTGGATTAGGAAGCCCCACCCGCTATGCTCTTTATCAACAACACATTCATTCCATTCATTCATTGAATAATCAAGTGGAGGCGGCGTATTAAAAGAGCTCCTGCCAGATCCCTACACAAGCCACTACTCAACGCTGAAACAGAGAGGAGTTGGTTATTCTACTTCTATGATTGACTACTACTGTTCATTAAGAATAAGAATGCTACACAGAACTTTCAACATTCACTATGCTGCGCACTACGCGGCTCTATTCATTCCATTGTTCAATACACACGTAGAAGAGAAGAGGGAAAGTTGATGTGCTGCTGCTTCTGTCTTCTTCTTCAACAGAAATCCAAGGTATTCTTCTTTTCTCTCTTTCTTCTCTTCTTTTCTTTTTCTATTTTTTTTTTTTAATCTTCTCTTCTTCTTCTTCTCTATTTCTCTTCTTCTTCGACAGAAAATACAGCCTAGTTCTAGCTGTTTCTGCTGCTTCTATAGTGCTATTGCTGCTTTTGTTTTTGCTTTGAAAACAAAGGTATGTTATTTTCTTCTGCTTCTGTCTTCTTCTGTGACAGCCAGTATGTTCTTTTGCTTATGGTTCTGCTTCTACAGTTCTGCTCCTTCTACAGTTCTACTATTGATTTTGTACTGCTTATTCTAATTGTGCTTCTAATTTTCTGCTGATTCTGTTTCTATTGATTTTGCTTATGCTTCTGCTTGTAATTTTATGTTGCTTGAATTGTGTGTCTTACATTTATAAATATTAGGATTTGAGATATTAGAACTTGGATATTTAGAAGTAATTAAACTAAAATATTTGCTTGTTTTTGGTTCGCTTTACGCCTTGGATATTTAGAAGTAATTAAACTAAAATATCTACTTGTTTTCGGTTCACTTTACACCTTAAATAATATTGGTAGGCATGACAGAAAACACCTTCTAGAATTTATAATTCATTAAACACCTTAAGCTGCCAGTTTAAAACTGCAAGTTCAACCACAAACTACTTGCTGCAAAAGAAATGGGACCTTATTCTGTTAGAAAGTCAACGAATCAACCAGGATCCAAGAAAGCAACCACTAAAATCCAAGGAGAAGAATCCTTGGAGGGAAAAAAAAGAAAAGAGGAGCTAATTAACAAGCAGCTTAAGGTTCTAAATGATTAGAAATGAAGACAAATGAGTACCTTAGATTCAGTTTAGCAAGTGGAAATAGATGAGAAGAGATGCAATGGAGAGGTTTTTGTAAATTTGCCTTTTAATTTCCCCTTCATTTCTCGAGTATTTTCACCATCACTTCTCCCATTTGCAAAATGAACCAAATGGAACACAAAGTTACCGACAAATGCATAAAAAACTGACACTTTCATGGGCACATCATGCCCAATCATTTTTTTGGTGCCTCAGACTATTCAATTGGAAAATCACACAGTAATGCACATTGTAGATAACTCTACTAACCAAAGCGACTTGAGGCATTAGATTAAATCCATAACATCAAACCAAGGGTCTGCCATACCTGGTGCAGTAAAGCAAGGGCATGGAACTGTACAAGTGCTGCCCTTGATTGAACAGCTTCCTGCACCTCATTGCTCCACCTCTTCACAATTTCCGGGTTTGTCTGTCAAACAATTAACAAACCAATAAGACAAATTCCAAAAATAATAATTACCAGTTCTACACAACAATTTGATAGTACCTGGAGTAAATGGAATCCACTAACAAGGGCTGCACTTGCAACCACTGGGTTTTTGTCAACAATTGCTTGTTTCAAGTATCTCTCGATCTGGGTCAGAAGTGTTCCATCTGTAATACGACAGAGGACCCGTATAGCATTTGCCCGGTACATGTCAGTCTTGCTATTCATGTCCTTCATAAGAGAGCTTGTAACAATAATAACCTTTTACAAAAACCAAAATGTAAATTGTCAGTGTCAATTTTCCAAGAAAGCAGGGTCTCGTGAAAAAAAGAAACAGGTATATGTAACCTCATCTGCGCAGGGAGAGAGCTCCTTTATCATCAAATAAACCATTCTTCTTAAACCAATGTCTCTTGACTGGAAAAGTTTTGTGACAGCAAAGAATACTTCTGTGGCTTCTACCTATAAAATGTAATAGAAAAATAATTCATCAATAAAATAGTAAATTCAAACATAACACAGTTCTGAAGTTTGAACAAAAAAATTGATCACCAAAAATGGCATGCCTATTTAAAGAAAAACGCATACACAGAGATGGAGCTTGAAAGTTTTTCCATGGAACCTGACCTACATATGAGCTATGGTAGTAATAGCTTTATTGAATAAATTTCAATACAAATTTCAGTACAAGTTTAGTATGGTTGAAGTAACAATTCTATAAATAACATTGACCTAACCGTATTGCTTTCATTTTACTTCCATTCATAATAGACATTGATTTTTCTGAGTTGTATTCATCCAAGATGTTTCCTATATTAGTCTAATGTTAAACGACCCATTTTTTCTCCAAGAAAAGAGATTCATTTATTTCAAGCCAGATAAATTTCAAATCTAGCTAAGCATCAAATATCAAATAATTAAAATATACATTCTGCAATAATGCAATAAGATTCTTGAATCCAAATTTATAAATAATATTTCGGATAAACTTTTATAGGTTAATTCATGAATCTCGCTCCTTAAAATTAGTAGAACATTCAAAGAAAGCATAGACGAAAAGTTTTCTTAAAAATATTATTTTGGTTGAATAGATTATGATAAAATCTAGCCAAAGGAAAACTTAGTTCACCAAAGCATTTTTCTCCAAAGAGACAATTTCACCTTAAGATCCAAGGAAAGACATTCTTCAGACTGTATCAATTCTCAATCAAGAGAGTGTTCAAACAATCTTTTGAGGCCCACCACATCTTGTAGGTGTACTAAAGAAACACATTTTACAGACTGTATGGCTTCTCAATTGGACTTCATGAACTTGCTTATGACATTATCGTTACACGAATGCCAAGGATGCTGTCACAGCAAGTCAGAAAAACCTAGTTAACCAAAATTTTGGTTCCAAAATTGCAGACAAACTATTAAAGTGATTGTGCTTTTCTATTGTATTATTTTATTTTTTTTGTTGGAGTTAGAGGAGTAGGAGAAGAGGAGGCAGGTACTGCTATCTATAAATGCTTATACAAGGATCACAAACGGCATACAGTTCCAAAACCATGATAAGGGATATCCACTACATTCTTTTCATATTTTTGGTAGGGGTGGGGGGTTAATCTGTAACATATAACCTGACCTTTGTGAATGTTTCCCCTTGATTCAGAAGATACAGAAGCTTTGTGATGACCTGAAAATGCCAATAAATGAAAACAAGTAAAAATAAGTTCCTGAAGAATGAATAAGATGAACAAAATACAGAGTGAGAATTAATGCGGAGAACAAAAAACTACCTGTGAACATTTTCTGGGGTCTAGCTGAGGGTCATGGAATACCCTAGCTTCCTGGAGAACAGAACCCTTCTCAATTCCCAGGAACGGAGAGTATTCTGCAGCAATATAATTGAAAACACACACGTACACAATTAGTAACACAAAATAATTTAGCAGCTAACAAATTGAACAAACAACCAGCATACATTCTCAGAAACATATAGATCTATGAAGAAATCAAGTGATCTAATTACTTAAGGCCACCAACTCAGCTTAAAATATCAATTTCTACAATACCACGTCCACAGTGATTACAGAATATTCAAGCTGTACGAATACCACGTCCACAGTGAATACAGTATATTCAAGCTGTACGAATACCTAGGGCCAAATTCAACGAATTGAGAACCCTAAAATGGGCAGATCAACTAAACTGGACAATTGCTGGTTCATAGAACAAATATGCATGCCTAGAGCGAAATAGACTGATCTAAGAATTAAAACGCAACCTAATCAACCAAATTGAGTTCAGTGTTTTCACCAAACATTTAGAAACAGAGCCACATATGAAATTTGTACAAATAGATGCAGATCTGTGACAGAAAAATCAATAAACCATTAAACCAAGGCGCCAATGCTATAAATCAAAGAATGAAAGCGAGCTGGAATCGAATCAACAAATCGGGCACATATTCGTCGCAAATGAGGAAAAAACACTAGACTGAAAATTTGCCAATTTGAAGAAGATATCTATTTGAATTCGTCAAATTCAAGAGCGTACCTTCGTCGTCACGATCGTCGTCCTTCTTCACGAGAGGCAGCGCCATTGAGAGATCGCAGAGGAGCAAGGCACGAATTTCGCGGAGAGAAACAGTAACCAGATCTCTCTATCTAACACACACACACAAACAAACTCAATCTATATAGACAGAAACGAAGTCGAAGACGGATAATTGCATATCTCTCTCTCTCTCTCTATGCGTTCTATTCGTTCAAGTGAAGTTTCTGAGGAGGGTTAGTCAGTGAATATAGAAAAAATGGGGAAAAGCCATCATACGCTCTACTCGAATACTAAGCAGGTAGTAATCCGGGATGAAACAGTAATTTTCATGTTTATGGGCTTCCTGGGAAATAAATTAAAATAGTTTTCATTCTCGTTACTTATATCTAGGTGTGTCAATTGTCTCCGGTGGCTGATTCGTCTCTGACGAAACGTGTTATATGTGTATAAATTATATATAATTAATATATAAAATAAATCATATCATATACTTTTTCTTATTTTAATTGGTATCATAAGAATAAATTGTTTGATTTTAATTTTTTTATCACGTATTAACATGAATTATTGTTAATCAATTTTTTTTCACTTTTTTTACATATTAGATTTTTAGCCAATGAAAAAACTATAAGTGGTGAGTTTTGTTTAGAAATAACAAGATCTTAATATTAGATTTTTAATTAATGAATTATTTGGGTTAACTTGAATATATAATAAACATGTTGGATTAAAGTAAGAACATATAACATAATTAATTAAATGAATTAAATTAAAATTGATTAATACACAACACAATGATGAGACATGTCATTTTTTTGTTGCGTTATTTTTAATCGTGTTAAATTTTATATGTGTCGGGTTTATATTAATATTCGTGTCAATACAAAAATTTNATGAATTATTTGGGTTAACTTGAATATATAATAAACATGTTGGATTAAAGTAAGAATATATAACATAATTAATTAAATGAATTAAATTAAAATTGATTAATACACAACACAATGATGAGACATGTCATTTTTGTGTTGCCTTATTTTTAATCGTGTTAATTTTTATACGTGTCGGGTTTATATTAATATTCGTGTCAATACAAAAATATTTAATTCTATAATAACTCATATAATATTATTTAAAAAATTATAAAATATTTTTTTTTGTTCATATTACTCATCAAATACTTATTTTCTATTTACGGTATTTATTTATGTCTAACATGAATTTAACTCATTTGATCCATTCATTACTTGTATTAATTAATCGTATCATTTTTAAGTTTGTCTGATCAAATTTGTGTCGGGTTCGTATTAATACATAAAATTAACACCCCGATTATACATGGAACACGACGGAAGATAACTCGGTTGACAAGCTATATGCACCAACACAATTGCCAAGCATGTAAGGTACAAACAATTCCACATGTATTGTCACACAAAAACGCAAAGGAAATAACACAAACCCANGTCACGATCGTCGTCCTTCTTCACGAGAGGCAGCGCCATTGAGAGATCGCAGAGGAAGCAAGGCACGAATTTCGCGGAGAGAAACAGTAACCAGATCTCTCTATCTAACACACACACAAACAAACTCAATCTATATAGACAGAAACGAAGTCGAAGACGGATAATGGCAGATCTCTCTCTCTCTCTCTCTCTATGCGTTCTATGCGTTCAAGTGAAGTTTCTGATCAGTGAATATAGAAAAAATGGGGAAAAGCCATCATACGCTCTACTCGAATACTAAGCAGGTAGTAATCCGGGATGAAACAGTAATTTTCATGTTTATGGGCTTCCTGGGAAATAAATTAAAATAGTTTTCATTCTCGTTACTTATATCTAGGTGTGTCAATTGTCTCCGGTGGCTGATTCGTGTGTTATATGTGTATAAATTGTATATAATTAATATATAAAATAAATCATATCATATACTTTTTCTTATTTTAATTGGTATCATAAGAATAAATTGTTTGATTTTAATTTTTTTATCACGTATTAACATGAATTATTGTTAATCAATTTTTTTTCACTTTTTTTACATATTAGATTTTTAGCCAATGAAAAAACTATAAGTGGTGAGTTTTGTTTAGAAATAACAAGATCTTAATATTAGATTTTTAATTAATGAATTATTTGGGTTAACTTGAATATATAATAAACATGTTGGATTAAAGTAAGAATATATAACATAATTAATTAAATGAATTAAATTAAAATTGATTAATACACAACACAATGATGAGACATGTCATTTTTGTGTTGCCTTATTTTTAATCGTGTTAATTTTTATACGTGTCGGGTTTATATTAATATTCGTGTCAATACAAAAATATTTAATTCTATAATAACTCATATAATATTATTTAAAAAATTATAAAATATTTTTTTTTGTTCATATTACTCATCAAATACTTATTTTCTATTTACGGTATTTATTTATGTCTAACATGAATTTAACTCATTTGATCCATTCATTACTTGTATTAATTAATCGTATCATTTTTAAGTTTGTCTGATCAAATTTGTGTCGGGTTCGTATTAATACATAAAATTAACACCCCGATTATACATGGAACACGACGGAAGATAACTCGGTTGACAAGCTATATGCACCAACACAATTGCCAAGCATGTAAGGTACAAACAATTCCACATGTATTGTCACACAAAAACGCAAAGGAAATAACACAAACCCATTCAGATTAACCCAAAATTCGAAAACATATTAGACTCGATTAACAAGCATTTTGACAATCAGTTACTGTGCATGAGTTATCCAGGCAATTGCCCTCACCGCATCTCCTCAATCTAAGCAAATTGTTGGCCGTACANCATTCAGATTAACCCAAAATTCGAAAACATATTAGACTCGATTAACAAGCATTTTGGCAATCAGTTACTGTGCATGAGTTATCCAGGCAATTGCCCTCACCGCATCTCCTCAATCTAAGCAAATTGTTGGCCGTACAACAATTGAATTACACCGTGCACCCTCCTATACGAGCCGATTGAGACTGTACGTGTCAACATTAAACCATCATAAACACATGTAGATGACCTCGTCAGCTTTTTAATCATGGAAGTTGCCGAGCTTTGCTCGATCAAGGGCTGCGCAAACGGCGCAGTTCTTGTGATTCGCCGCCGGGAGTGGTGGCGAACTCACCGGTGGTGCCATGCTCGCTGCTCGTGAACTCCTGGCTTGACAGGCCGGTTTTCCTGAACTTCTTCATCTCCGAGTGGTATGAACCTCCATCATACTCAGAACTGCCACCATAGCTGGACATTGCACCATGGCCTGGTTTCACTCCCTCGTTTAAGGCATCCAACGACATATCGCCTTCCAAAGCACGGACAATCTGTTTTCACGTACAATATTACAGTTAGTCCCCTCCACAATCGAGAAAAATAGGGTTAATGGGTACTAAATTATGCATTTTTTGTTAGTTTGGATCTTAAAATATTAATTTTGTTAATTTGATTCCTAAAGAATTCAATTCGTTCACTTTGATCCCTAATTAGATAATTCGTTAAGTGTTTTGACGAAAGTGACAACGTGCCCCTCTTTTAGACGATATTACGTGCCCAACACGTAATTTCGATACAAATCTAAACATTTTGAAAGACAAAAAAAAAAAAGGGTCGATTAATGCACCTATCCCTTCCCCAAATAAGTGATGGCAAAGCCATGAAGATGGAAGGAGGGCAGATAAACACCTGGCTCATTTTGGGGCGTCTCCTAGCAGAATGCCTAATGCAAGCAGTAGCGCATGACACCATGCGTAGCATCTCTTGGGGATCATAGTTGTTCTCTAACCGTGGATCCACCAGCTCTTCGTAGCTTCCACCCTCTGTTACATGCGTTAGAATCGGCCTAGCCTGCATCGTACAATAATTGTTACACAATTAACATTCAAAATGCAAACTTATCAAACACTTAACACGCACACTTTGTCAAGCATTATGAGACCGTGTCACCACAATCCACTTATGACCACTTGTTCTAAGGATCTGTCTAGACCTATTCGATTTTGACATGTGTTTGTTCAAAGACTTCACACACATTTAATCAAACGATGATTAGCAATACACTCGCCTTAAAACAAAAGTTCAGGGAAAAAAAAAATCAAATCCATACCCAATCAACTAAGCTATCATCGTCGCTGCTGACATCCACGGGGCGTCGTCCAGTTATCAGTTCCAGTAGCATAATTCCATATGAATAAACATCAGATTTCTCAGTTAGCTTGCCACTTGATGCGTACTCAGGTGCCAAGTACCTGCATTAGTCACATATTAGTGTTATTAAGAATCTCAACTAATTGTTCTGTTTGGAACATGAAGGGGCTGGTTTATGTTTCTGACCCAAAGGTTCCCATGATTCTTGTTGACACATGAGTGTAGTTGTCCGAAGAAAGCTTTGCCAATCCAAAATCTGCCACCTACATATAACCAAACATGACACAGCTTTCTCAAGTGGAAAATAATCTAAAATAGAACCAACTGCCACCTAGTATACAAGCCTCCCCTCACTACGGGATTTGGAAAAAGTCAAATATACAAAATCATGGTAGCTAATTACTGCAATACCTTAGCTTCGAAACTCAAGTCAATTAAAATATTCGCAGTTTTGATGTCTCGGTGGATAATGCGAGGGTGACCTGCACATGGCGAAGAGATACTTGTTACTCACACACACCAGAGAGAGAGAGAGAGAGAGAGAGAGTTTTCTTACAATCTTCATGAAGGTAAGCAAACCCTTTGGCTGATCCTAGTGCAATCCGGAGCCTTGTAGGCCAATCCATAGTTGGTCGACCGGCTCCTACAAATTTACCAATGAAGTCTTGATCAAGATCCCTCTAATACAATCGTTTTTAGTATTTTTTTCGTTTATTTTTTCTTAATCAAAAAAATCTCGCAAACAAAGCGCATATTCATTGTAACCAATATGTAAAACGACGGGTGTAAGGGAGATGAGAATGTTATTGGAATCGCTCCCCAAAAAGTTGAGAAATTCCGTTGATCGCAATAGTATTAACTATAAATGCTATGTTTTGATGTAAATATGTTCAAATGTAGAGGGTCATCTCCCATTGTTGCCCCCTTATGCTCGTTCTATGTTGACTCTCTGAATTTGTTTTTTAATGGGTCCCAAGTCTCAACCAATAGATTACGTCCAAGTATCATACTCATAAAAAAAATTGTTAGTTACATAATCAATTTGGGACAAGAGAGCATACCATGCAGGTGGAATTCAAGTGTATTGTTGGGAACAAATTCATAAACCAACATTCTTTGAGAGCCAGCAATACAATAGCCAACCAAAGACACAAGGTGACGGTGGTGGACACGGCTGATAATATCAACCTCCGCCTGAAATTCTCTCTCTCCTTGCCCACTACCATTTTTGAGACTCTTCACAGCCACTTCTTTCCCATTTGGCAACACCCCTTTGTGAACATATCCAAACCCACCTTGTCCCAATAGGTTGCCACGGGAGAATCCTCCGGTGGCGGCTGCTAGGTCGTCGTAGGTGAAAGAGCTCTGGTTGAACCCTAAGGCTAGGCCTGGGTGGGGTGGTGGCAAGGAGGCATGGTGTGGGCCAGAGTAACCGGTGGAGTTCATTTCACTGCTGTTCATCCCTGGTGGTGGTGGTGGTGGCGCCGCCGCTGGCCAACCGTGGTTTGAACTTATTCCAGCATTACCTGGTGGTGGAGGCAGATTAACATTGTGGTGGAAGGATTGGTTGTGGTGGTGCCAGCTCTCTTGTTGTCCATTGTTATAGTATCCACCACCTGCGAGTAACACTTGATGAGAAAAAGTAATAATTAGAGGTTGTTATTTCAATACAAATATGACTAATTAATTCATATTTTTAAAGTTGTCTCATTTTTTAACTATATCGAGAACTAGGATCGTAAGTCTATATCGTGTTACAGTGACGTGTCAAAAATTATCAGTTCGAGTCATATCACGATTCCATTCCAATTCTTAGACAAAAAATGTTATTTTTCTTGGGAAAATAAATATATAATTCATTACCTTTGTTTCCCTGAGAATTGTCCCTGTAGTATTGCATTTGATCATGAGGCTTTCGCTTCTTCCTTTTACAGCAAGACACCAAGAACACTATCATGATAAGAAGTAATAGCCCTGCCCCTGCTGCAACTCCTGCTATAATGGCTTTTGAATCAGATGAGTCATTGTTTGATGGTGGTGGCGACGACGACTTATGTTTAGAGGGAGAGAGTGGTCTGGGGTGAGATTGTGATGACGGTGGTGGTTGTGGTGGTGGAGGAGGTGGTGAACCCCCATTTGGTGAACCTGAATTAGGTGGGGGAGGGGAATTGTTGCTAGAAGGTGGTGAATTGTTGTTGTTGTTGTTGTTAGGTGGTGGGGATTTTTTGTCGGAGGGTGGTGAGCTTTTGGGGGAGGGTGCAGATGGGGAATTTGAATCTTTAGGTGGAGGTGGAGGTGGTGGTGATGATGATGAGTCCTTTGGTGGTGGTGGCGATGATGGTTGCAGTGGTGATGACGATGATGGCGGCGGTGGTGACGATGAATTTGGTGGTGGTGACGACGACGACGATGATGGTGGCGGTGGTGACGAAGAATTTGGTGGAGGGGTAGTAGAAGGCAGAGAATTTGAAGGTGGAGAATCCGACGATGATGGAGATTCCTTAGGTGATGATGACATTTTAATATAATCTTTGGTCACAGTCTAGGTCAAAATGTGTCGGGTAGCCCCGCCACTCCTCCAAGTATATGACCCTTATGAAATTCAACAATCAAAGTCAATAACCCAAATAAATTAAGAAACAATCAAACAAAAACAACAATTATATATACCCTAATATCAATGATCAAAAATTCGTTTTGATGCATAGTTTCGGTGAGCTTAAAAACAGAAACATTTCGGTAATATTTCAGAGACAAGATAGAAACAAAAAAAAATTTAAAAATTTATTTTTGTAACATTAATCAAAACATACCAAAACATGTGTCAAATATACTGAAACACCCCGAAAATCTATCGAAGTACTTCAAAATATCTCGAAATATAAGAATTTTTATATTCAATCAATAATTCATTTTGATTTCTATAGAACAGAAACGTTTTGGACATTTCAAAACGAAATTTTAATCTTACCTAATATAAAACATGACATTACATTTACCTAGCCATGAAAGAAACAAAATTATGTCAATTAGTGTGTGAGAGAGAAAGAGAAAGAAAGGGAGGGGTACCTTAAGGAGAAGGGCAGGGAGGATTCTCAAAGGAAAGAGATGAAAAAGATGATGCATGGTAATAGTTTCAACAAAGAAACAAACAAGCCAGCCTTCCATTCCCATACATCTCCTACAAAGGTGGGAACTAAACTATGCATTTTCTATCTTTAGGTTGGTCTCTCCCACTCTTATCCTACATTCCATTCAAGGGCACTAGTTCCACGTGAACCAAAAATAGAATAATGCTATTTAAACATGCTTTTTTTTATTCTCAAAAAAAGACTTGATGATGTGGCAAATGATATGTACATGTCACACCATCAATTTTCTCAACCAAAAATTTTAAAATATTTTCATTAATTAATATGTCTTAAATAGAACTTCTCGTAACTAAAAAGACATAACTATTTTGATCACTCTTCGGATTTTTTCATTGTCGGAATAACCAATGGCTTCTATCATCGGCCATAGCATCGACGCCATTAGTGAAATAATTGGAATTTTAAAGATTTCTTTTAAAAATTATGTTTTATCTCATTGAACTTCATCGTTTGTCTCTCTTCTAATAACATTTGACCAATAAAATTTTATAGTGATATTAGTGTCATATTATCAAATGGTTTATATGCATAAGTTGAATTTAGTCATGTTTAGTTCAATTTGTGTGGTATTTAGTCGGATTCTTATCGACAATTTTCATGATAGTGCTGAGAAATTCACTCGTTTACGAATTTAATTCATCTTCTATTAAATTTTAATAGTAGATGCATTATTGATTAAAACAACATCATTTCAAAATAATGTTATTTTATTTAACAAAACAATATCGTTTTAACGCAAAACGACACTATTTTAATTAACAGTTGATTTTTTAACGACAGATAATTCTCAACCCATTTACTCAAAACCCGCTAAGAATAAAGGAAACGTTTCGCAAATATTTTAAAAATATTTTCTACCTAAAATAAAAATAAATTTAATTTTTTTTAAATATTAAATTTATCCTTCCTACTGGAAAAGTCTTGTTGCCGACTGTATAGCTGTCTGTGTTTGTGTCCGACGAGGGAGAGAGAATAAGAATTTAAAGCTAATTCTCTATCAACACAGCAAAACCCTAGTAGATCTTATCTTCCTCGTTGTCCTCTCCTGTTTCACTTACTATCTCTGAAATTTTCTCCATAGACAAGGTCGTCTTCGACTCACTACCACTATGCCTTCCCGAAGAAGAACGCTTTTGAAGGTCATAATCCTCGGAGACAGCGGGTAAGTTCCATACAGATACATGGTATATATATATGTATATTTGTATCTTGAATTCAGGGTTTTCAGACTCGTAATTTGGGGTTTCTGATGGATTCCTCTATAAAGGCTAAATAAAGTTCTTGAAGATTTTTGGTTTGCTATGTGATGATTTTTTGTTGACTCGATACTGATCTAATCGAGCAAGTATTTTTGTTAGTTATGAGAAATTAAGACTTATGAACTGCCTGTTTTACTGAGGTTTGGTGGTTGTGTGTGTGATCTGCAGGGTGGGAAAGACTTCATTGATGAATCAGTATCCTTTAGAATTGTCTAATCGCATGAAAGGGCATTTTTGGTTTGCTTTTGTTAGCCTTGAGTATTTGATTTTAGATATGTAAACAAGAAGTTCAGCAACCAATACAAGGCGACTATAGGGGCTGATTTCTTGTCGAAGGAAATGCAGTTTGAAGATAGGCTCTTCACCCTACAGGTGGGCAATGGCTTTTGGCTTTTCCATCAACTAATGAAAGAATATATATATATATATATACCAATCCCCCTCTTCTTCGAGAGATGTGTGTCTTCCTGCTTAATCTAATTGCTTTGACATGATCACTGGATTATGTCTTTTATTACTAGTGTCTTTATAAGTTTAGAAGAGCAATAATAATGTGTTATTCAATAGATTATGAAAAAGTAGTGGTGACAGGAACAAATTGATAGTGGAGGAAGTATGCTTGTACTACTACGTAATTGGTGCATGTACTAATGATAATACACTTTTACTCTTTTCATCCTTCACTGTTATGCTGATATGAGTACTGGCAATATTGTATTGATTGCTTTTCAATGAGTACCTGCCTGGCATTTCTTTCGAAAAATTGAAGTGGGGGCCTTTTTCACTTTATCTGGGGAAGGTCTTATTAAATCCTATACAAAAGAAGAAAAAGGCATTGTTGATTCCAAGTCTTGTTGGAGGACGGGAGATTCAGTTCGACTAAGCTTTCATGAGGTTCTGAGTCATTTAACATTTATGTGTTGTTTTAGTTGATGCACACCACTATGTCAGATGTATTCTTGCTTGAGGCGTGCTCTCATTTGGGCCATTTTTAAGTACTTAATGAGACTATAAGGTAGTCTCGAATGGAGTCCTCTCCTAAACCTTACACTAGCCTTTTCTTTTGTTTATATGACTTGATTTGGATATCTAAAAACTTGTTTTTGGTAAGTAGAATATCTTTTCCCCCCATTAAGATGGATATCTTCTTTCTTTTTTTTTTTTGTAAGATATATACTTGATTTTTTTCGGTAAGTAAGATGTATATTTATTTTTTTTCCCAGTAAATTTATATCAAAAAAATTATGGGTGATCCTTTCTGTTTTCTTATGAGCCTGTGCACTTGGTGAATTCTTGTTACTCAACATTCAGTTCATCTGCTACTTTGGCAGATCTGGGATACAGCTGGCCAGGAAAGATTTCAGAGCCTTGGTGTAGCTTTCTACCGTGGTGCTGATTGCTGTGTCTTTGTTTATGATGTCAACGTGATGAAGTCCTTTGACGATCTAGACAACTGGAGGGAAGAGTTCCTCATTCAGGTGCAACATGTATTTTCTTTGAAATTCTGATTTTCGTTTAAAGGGGATATAGTGTGTGGCATTTTTATCCTATTACATTTTGGTTTTTATTTTATCTATTTCTTTTTTCTGTTTGATTCATTTTCTTCTTCTTGTAAGGAACTAAGGATGGAAAATGCTCTTTTTTTTTTTTTGCTCTTGTTACTTGTTTACTTTTAAACAGTTTATGGCTCTGCACAGAGCTGATCTAAGAATAGGTATTCATAACTTGATCCTAATTGGCTTTTTCTACTCCCAAATGTGCTTTTCCCCTTTCCTTGGAAAATTTAGGATATGTTTGCCATTCAAGACTAACATCCAAGGTCCCACTATCTGGTTCTCCATTGCTTTCCTGTTCATCCATCTTCAACTTTGGTTCTAAACCAGAATCACCAATCCTACACAGCTCAACATTTAGTGATGATGAGTGTCCATGTTGCAACAAGCTTGATGACTGTAAGATTAAAGCAAAGACAATTTGTGATGTAACTACCATCGGCTTGCCTGTTTTATTCTCTATCCTACAAGTTGAAATCAATTATTTTCGCACATTGCCATTATATCAGAGGTTTAGGCTAATTTCAGGGATGCCTCCACATGGAAGGAATGTGTTCCAATTAGATTGTAATTAAGGGTTTCAATGAGCCTGAGATCTAGAGAAAGAGGTAATGGTGATTACAACAATGTGCACATTAAACTAGTCAATTCACATGATGTGGTTTAAGTTCCCAACCATGAAGATGTCGGCTTCACCTTTTTCTTTGATGTGTGCGCTTTTGTGGTTTGTTTGTTTTGGGGATTTTTTTTTTTTTTTTGGGGGGGGGGGGGTGTTGCCATTTAGATGCTTTAGTGGTGTTGCATCATCAGTGTTGTCAACAGTGACATTGAATTCAACAACAGTGGTGGTCGGTGAGCTGATGTAATTAATGATGCTTGTGGTTGTGTCAATCTAATTTGCCGGCCCTAAACCATCCCAGGAGGTTTGGACGTTGGGATTTGCGACAGGTATGTGTTCAATGAAGATGGCTTGAAGAAGATGAAATAGTTTGGCAATTAGCAGAGAATGATTCCTTGTATTCACTTTGTGGGTAGTGGCTTTCAGATAAAACTGAGAATGATTCTTTTTCTTTATTGTAGGATTGATAGTATCCAAACATTGAAAGGAATGCATAAGCACCATAGGGAGCTGAAATAGCTGCTCCCTATATGGTATTACAATTTGAAAGTACAGCTTGTGTAATTTACTTCTAACAAATTTCATCCCGATCTTTTTCATCATCAATTATTAATTAGAAAATGAAAAATTGGGTTGGGCTGATGGTCTAAGATTTTTTCCACAGGCAAGCCCATCGGATCCAGAAAATTTCCCATTTGTTGTTCTAGGAAACAAGGTTGATGTGGATGGTGGAAATAGTAGAGTGGTATGTTTGGATTTGGCACTATTGGGTGCATTATCATATTTGGTTCTTCATGTATTTTTCACTTGCTTTTGATATCAAGTGCTGCTCTTTATGAACTGCTGTAGGTGTCTGAGAAAAAGGCTCGGGCTTGGTGTGCATTGAAAGGAAATATTCCATACTTCGAGACCTCTGCCAAGGAGGGTACCAATGTTGAAGATGCTTTCCAATGCATAGCAAAGAATGCCCTGAAGAGTGGCGAAGAGGAAGAAATGTAAGTCGAATAGGATTAACTATCTCTCGATAGGTATTACACATCATATGATTCTTGGTAGTTATACATTATGGCCTATGGGAACATGTAGAATTAGGATTGCGGATTGGTTCCTCTTACCACTTGATTTACTCCCATTACCCTATGCTAAAGTGTTTATGTGCATCTTTTGTTGTGTTTTTTTGAATAATGCATGGAATGTCATCTGATGATCTGAATTAGAAAATTTCACATGGATAATTATTGATTTCCTCCAATTGGGTTTTGAAGTACCATTAACTGTGTTGTATTTTGTCAGTGGCATGCATTTTCATCCAATTCTATTTTATTTGAGTGGTGTTAGCCTTGTTACCTGTTATGTTATTTTCTAGGGTATTGCTTGGCCATTGTGTTACATTTCAGGACCCTCCAAATAAGTGCAATAGATTTTATACAGTTTGATGGTATTGATGCCCAAAAATATTGGTAGGTACCCCACCCTCTTGTTTCTAATATTGTACAAATTGATCAATTGGGGTGTCTCAAGTTCTTTTGGGGTGCAATGACATCAGCCTTTTTATGTAACCGTGTTTTTCCACATGAGGCGTGTGTTTCTTTTAATCTTCTGCAGTTCTGCTAAAATATTGTAGAACTCTTTTATCTTCAAAATTTCAATCTGTTGAATAGTCTGCAAAATGGAATTATGATTTCTAAGCCGAATGATTTCTTAGAATAGACAACATTATTTTTTTCGAAAATTTAATAGTGGAAATGGTGCTAACAAGTTATCTCTAATGTTACATTTTCTGGTGCTGAATTTTATTTGTTATCAAGATACTTGCTGGACACCATTGATGTTGCAAACAACAGTCGGCAGGGGTCCACCAGCTGCGAGTGCTAACCCGAGTTTCTGATTTCAGAGTTATGACAGAAATTGCTGTAATCACTAGAAAAGATTTGAATGTCATTAGTTTCTTTTACTTGTACATTAGCCTTTGCATGAGGAGCAGATTGGTCTCAAATTTCTAGTTGAACTTGGTTGTATGATGCCTTCTGTTATAAGTAGTCTTGTTGATGAATATACCACTGATATCATAAACTACTCCGTGAGGCAAAAATGCTTCGATATCATGGAGAAAAAGCAGTTGCCAATGTGCATCTAGAGCCGATAATCAAGTTGAGTCTATCAAGCTTGTTTTTTAACACATATTTAACCATATTGTTCAAAATTAGCTCGTATAAAATAAGCTGACCTCAAAATGAGTTGAGTTCAAGTAACTCGACTATTTTATATATAACTGTGTTGAGTTATTTTAGTCTGTTTTTCTAAACGAGCTTAAAAATTATTCAAGTTCAACTCAAGCACATTTATGTTTTTAGAGAAACTAAGCTCAAATAATTTGACTTGATTATCAGTTTTACTATCCGATGCGTCAAGAATAATCTCCCTCAAAAAAATTCAATTTCCAAATAGCAGATGGCCTCCGTCCACCCATTGTTGGAAAAAACATAAAAGAAAAAAAAAGAGACAAATGTTCACACATATGGATAATTCTCCAGTTGGTTCAATCATTTTGGGTAGCAGTGTACATGACTATTCCTGGAGTGGGCACACAAGACTTGTCTTGTACCATGTAAGGGTCAAAGACCCAACAATATAATCTATTAAATATAAAAATGTAACATTCAAATGATAGCGCAGCATATGTAATTCTTTTTTTATTGTTTCACCTTATGTATTTATTTCTACGATCAATGATTACAAAAAATTATAGCTACTAAATAATTTTTAAAGATAGTATGGAATGATAGTTTTCCGAAGTGTAGCAGAAGCACTTGCGCTTGCAGGATGGACATTGAAACTGTGAACCAAACAGACCCTAAAATGAAAGTGCAGCAGAACTCAAAACTGTGCACCAAACAGAAATGAAAGTGCAGAGGAACTCACAAGTTACGTCAGTGTGTCTAATCCACTAATCTAACCATCCACACCAAACAGATTTGATAAGCAAAATTTAATAAAAATTTGATAAGTGTAGCATCACTTTAATCGGATCTTGTTCCATTACTTACAATTCCGGCCAGCACCCATACCAAAACCAAGAGCTCTAGGGATGAACATAGAAAATACTGAAACCTATACCAAAACAACTACTTGCATTAGAGATCTCCCTACCATTCCCTTCATGTTGAAGCAGTCAAATTCTAAATACAGATAGATACCAGAGATACAGAACTTTGCACAGAATGATTAAGCTTAAGTTACAAAAAATACAAAGCTTTGTGCCGATGAATATTCATCATATTTACCGAGAATCAACACCTTCATGAATGTCTAAGAACACGTGTAATACAGCAATGACCCAAACTGTAAGTTACAAAATATGGCTCACATAAAGAGGCCATCTCGGGAAAATTTTGCTGGTTAAGGGAGTCACCAATAAATAGTTGAAATATTTCTGTGATGATTCAAAATATACACCCGGCAGCAACTGAATATCATCCGTCTGGCCTGTGAATTTCTTCCATGATGTAGCTGGACGAAAGATGTGGGCACATAGCTGGTGAAGAAATGCCATAATTGAGAAAGTAAGAGATACAAACACACACACACACACACACACACACACACACACAGAGGGTGCAGTTAAACAATCAAATGGAAACAAAATCACTCCACCTTGTCCATACCATTACCAAGTCCTCTTACATGCCCTGGTTTTATAGAGTAATACCAATGAAGGGTGAAACCACTAGTTTGTTTCCCATTAACCCAAAAAACATAAGGGAAGGGAAAAGTCTGAGGTTTAAGCATGCTGCCAAAATAATTAAAACATCAATTTTGGCAGAAAGTACAGAAACCCTTGTATATTTTATTAAAGGGAGCATCTACAATCCTTAAGTGAGAGCATGAAAGGTCAACCATCTTCAAACAGCAATAAATAAAAGTACTCCGCATTCATCCACACTTGAGGGGATGCTTGTTTTTAAAATCGATCTATAGAATGTTGAACCAAATCATAGGCTCCTAAAGCTAAAAAACGCTGAGGGCAAATACGAGAATCAAGGCTGTCCTTGGTATTTGATAGAATGTTACAGATTACTTAATGCAAGCTAGTACACTACTGGTTAAGTATATTCACATTGCATGAAGTTCTACTATGTATTCAAGTGGCGGAATTTTCAAGGTTTTCCAACAGAAATCAACAACTTTGCTATGTTTAACTTAGCAATTTACTGATAACAATCATAACAGTAAATAAGATACTCACTTGGTGTAAATCGGCTGTGAAGGACTGGTTGTATAGTAAATTGTATCCATACGTTCTTGAGCAAAAATTACTTCATTCCAACAGAAGAGAGTTTGTCCTGATTGGAAGGCTGAACTGAATTTCCTGCAACTGTAGAAGATGCAAATGGGTTTGGAGGAGGACCTGAAGCCATCATGGGTCTAATCATGGGTGGTCTTTGAGAGGTCATGCTCATCGGGGGCCTTGGTGCTGAGTTTGCATAAGCCATTGCAGCTCTGTTGGGTGCTAATGATTGCGGCATTGGTCTAGTTGAGGAAGCAGAGATGCCAAGTCGGGCTGCTATGATCTGTGCCCTCTCATGGTAAAGTCTCTGTTTTGACCTTTCTAATTGTTCCCTAACCCTCAAGACCACACTTTCCATCTCAGAAAAGAAAGCCAACTTGGTCTCCAACTTGTGCAACTGCAATTAATGCATATCAAAATAAAAGTGAACTTGTGCCACTAGCAAGAGAATACAATGACTCAGTCTAGTTAGCCACTAGCATACCAGTTTTTCTATCAATGACGTAGCAAGCTGTCGAATTTGGTCTTCTTCCTGGTATGCAAGAAGCTTAGCCTTCACTGCTGCAGCTGAGAGTGCAGTTACCGCAGCACACTTGACCTTGTCTATATTGATATCGTTTCTGGTCTCCAAAGGATCTTTATTCTCATTCTTACAGTCTTTTGCTTCTTCCTCACCTGCATAAAACAAACCAAATGCAATTCAGGAAAATATATCAAGCTTATGCAAACAATTTCATTTGTAGTGTGAAACCGGTCCATAAAATCTTTCCATCATATACGATAAATAAGGGGGAATCGCGCGTTTCCGATTCAAATCCTTCAAAATATGTCTTTATTGATAGTTGAGATTGAAATAAAAAAAAAGATACACAGAAAAGAATTGCGTCCAATAGGATTTGAACCTATACCAAAGGTTTACCCCCACCAAAGGGATTAATAAATAGATGAATAATGGTGACAAACTCCGAATTTATATCTGTTAACTTATTTTACCGCCTCATAAAAAAAATCCAGCAATGGGGATGCATCTTTTAATTGTCCCCAATCATGAAAAATGTTCCCTGAAACTTTTACAAAGCAAGTTGCTTCTTCTCCACCCCATATCATTCATGTCTATATGCTATCCATTCCCCCAACTTTTTGAAGTCAATTTCCCAATTAACAATATATTCTCCCCATTATTTTGACTTCATGAACTTGATTAGTCTCGGGCCCTATTTCCTTCTTTATAAAAATTACTCAGAATCCTATCTGTCAGGAAATGCTGAAAAATGGAACCTGCATTTGCTCCATTTTTGCACAGTAAATTGGAAGTAATTGGATGCTCAGACTCTTTCTTTTCCGAGGGAATAACATCAGTCATATCCACATCCTTTGGAGCCTCTGTAGATTGAAGGGGCCCTCCCACTGAAACTCCATCTTCTGACTCCTTTCCAGAACTTGGAGGAAGTTTCATTTTGGGCGATTCTTCCACATTACTAGGTGCTTGTTCCTTTGGCAAATGTGAATTATCTGATTCATTTAAAAAGGGAGATTCAACCACAATGTGCGTACCCATTACATCTGGTTCTTTCATGCTATGAGATCAAGCTTACAATAACATTTTAACTTTTACATAAAAATCTGTTCCTACCATCCCCATAATTAAACACCCCCCCTCCCTCTTCCCCCAAAACCAAAGAAAAGAGAAAAAGAAAGAGTAAACAGATAAATAATAGTAGCAAACTCCAAATTTATTTTTGTGACTTATTTTACAGCCTGATACAAAAATCCACCAATGGGACACATATATTTGTTTTCTCAAAAAGAGATGAAACATGCTTGAGACTTTGTATAATGTAAGTAGCATCTTCTCCACTCTTTCCTTACATAATAATTATAACTTATCCATATGTCAATCATTCCCTCAATTTTTTTTTGTAATTAGGTTAGTGATTTCCTACCTCAAACTATATTATTTTCATTATTTCAACTTCATGAACTTAATTATTCTCAATCTCTTTATATTTTAAAAATACTCATAATCCTATATATAAGGAAATACTGAAAAATAAAACCTGTGTTTGCTCCATTTTCAACCCGTGAACTTGATGCAATCGTATGCTCAGACTCTTTCTTTTCCAAGGTAACAGAATTAGTCATATCCACCCTCTCAGAAGACTGAAAGGGGCCCCCAATCGAAGCTCCATCTTTTGAAGAACTTGGAGGAAGTTTCACTTTGGATGTCAAATCATTTGATTCTTCTTCATTACTTGGTGTCTGTTCCTTCGGCAAATCTGGAATATCTGATTTAGTCAAAGGGGCAGGTTCAACCACCTTGGGAGTACCAATTACATCTGGTTCTTTTGCAGTACAAGACTTGTCTGCGCGTAGAACATTAGATGAAAAATTAACTACTTTTTCTTGAGCCACAGAATCCTTGTTTCCTTCATTTTTGTGATCATCTGATAAACCACTATCATCAAATTTTAAGTCAGACTTTTTCTCTTTCTGCTTAACATCGTTCTGAGTCTCATCTTTCTTAGCTTCCGGCTCAACCATTCCAGTGACATCTCTGCATATCTTACATTTAACATCAGACATTATATCTATAGATTCTTTGCTAATTTAAGCTACAAACGAGTTCACAAACCTCTCAGAATCAGCTGCTTTCTGCTTGTCGTCTGATGGATCTTCCAGAAGAAAACAGTGCCTTGCAGCAAGCTGCACACCAGAGGAATTGCCCATGATAGATTTTAAAGAACTACGGGCTGAGATGGCAACAATATTGGGTTCCGCTAATCGCACCAGGAATGCTGCCTGCAGGAGAGAAATACATGCAGAGCACCACCTATTAAAAAAACTAGTGGTGTTATCCAGCACCATCTTTGAAAAAGAATAACCCAGCATGGTATTTGCTGGTCTTTTTCTCCCTCTCCATGAGACAGGGAAGGATGAAAAAAGGGCTGGGTTGTAGGCACTGATAATAGTATGATTGTACACTACTGGCGTATAGGAGCTGATAATTATTTGGACTCAGCAAATAGGATTATCTAGCAAGTAATTGGAATTGATGGTAGTTGAGGTCCGTAACCGGACTTTCTGTCGTGTAACTGTGCTCTGACACTTGTACAAAGGTGAGGCCATGTAACTGGACTGAAGAAATCATTGGCAGCAAAACTCGTCATGTTGCACAATAGAAAAATATTTAAACAAATTCAGTTTAATGAGTCCAAAATGTCACTTTATTAATTGATTCAACAATCATATTTCCACATATATGCAATCGAATACCAACTGAGCCAAAAAACAATAACATACCAATGCCATGGCAGGGTTACCGACTTCAGCAAATGAAAGTTGTTTGCCAGGCGAAGGAAGAGAACCCACAGCTTCAAATGCTTCCTTCAGTGCCTTCAGCGCACAGTTCTCACCAGTCTCATCATTAACATTTGGTTCACTGGCATCCTCTGGCTTTGAAATTTCCACTGGGGAGGACAGGCGTTGATTGCCGAATGCATTGTCCTTGCTACCTGTCATTTCTGTGGTATCTTTGGAAGTCGAGGTACTAGTATGGGTTGAAACTGGATCTGCACTTTTAGAAGCCGGAGCATCTTTAGAAACTACAGCATCATCATTTGTTGACACTGGATCTGCATTTTCTTTAAAATTCGCATCAATTTCATCATCACAGTCCATGAACATATCCTCAATTGGCATCTGAACAAAGTGCAAGATACATTGAGCTTTTGTTTTTGTTGCAACATGCTCAGCAATCTCATTCCAGTTTTCCTTAAAAAGTTCCAGTGCTTCAAGGAGAAGGAGGGTCTCCTGATCTGTCCACTTCCCACCATTTACACCAGCTGCCTCAGCAGGCTCCATAAGAATGAAATCCGACGGGGACATATCAGAGTCAAACTTACCATTGTTGAAGCATTCACTGCATAAATCATAATCTGCCTGTATATAATTAACAGAATGAGCATTCAGACTGTGATCTCTAAATATAAATTGCACAGCATGTGCCAATAATGGGGGATGGCAGACAACCTTATCCACCACCATTTGCTGATGGCATATGCATTCAAATTTTCCTCATCGAAATTGACAAAGGCTGACATGATAAGTAGATCCCCTAAACTCTTAGTTGCTTGACTAGATCCCCTAAAATCTTGGTGCCAAAAGAAAAATTGCAACTTCCAATTTTTTTTATCCTTCAATAGGTAAAATACGTTTTGAAACGCTTTCGGAATTTATTTTAGCTAGAGCAAAATTGAAACTAAAAAGAAGATTTTGGACAACTATATGTTACTGCAACCTATTTTAACAGATTTTAGTTCACATGTGATATTGCAATTGCCAATTCAATGTAAAAGACCTCACCCTTAAATTAAGGAGAATCTAAATTTCTTCCTTTTCTCTTGTAAGAAACAAGTAGAATCTCAAACATAGAAATAGGCAAATAGCTTCTCCTAAAAAGCTAGAAACTGTCTGCTCGTGCATAAAAATGACTATTTTACCATAAATGATATCAAGGACTCATGACATGAAAGTATAGCACTTATTCATAGCTAGTATATTTCAGCCATTCATATGGCATAGCTCCATTGTTATAGCTTCCTCCACATTATTTCCTCATCCGCATATGCAGATTTATTTATTTATTTAATTGAGCAATACGTGTAATCTACATCCAAAAAAATATGAACAGACATGGTGCTCAATGATGTACTTCGACCAAACAAAAATGGAATTTAGAAAGATGCAGTCTCTATGAGAACATATAATTCCGTAACGGAAAATAAGAAATCCCTATAAAAAAACCTGAATCTGGCAATGATAGCGCTTGCGAGAGCAATCAGCTGAGCAAAAATTGCAATGGTACTCAACAGACGGTCCCTCAGACTTCACTGATTCTTCAGCAACAGCAGACTCCGGAAACAATCCACAAGGCACAGTCTGTGTCGCTACATTAGTCCTAGGAACTACCGGCTTATGTGACAGTTCTGTTTCAAAGCGATACAATTTTTCAACCAAAGAGTCTGTCATTGCCAATCCGTCAGCATCAGCAGCACCCAGAACAGCAGACTCAGTCTGCAGGAATGGGTGATAATTCATCAAACCCCAATAGTCCAAAAAATCCATCACCTCCTGCTTCGCTTCCAAATCTCCAACAGAGAGCTCAGACAAATCTTTCAACTCAATCTGTGTGTCAGGATTTGCATGAAACTTATTTATAATCCAATTTCGTATCTCTAAGTATATTGCAGGAGTCCGACTCTCCGACTTTCCATTAAAGAAAGAAGGCAAAGATTTTTCTTCCAATAGATGAATTTTGTTCCATGAAAACCAACCTACAAAACCAAAAAGAGAAAGAGACCTCAAATTGTAAGCCAAATGATAAACAAACCCCAAAATCCTAATTCTCTTATTATGCTACACGTCCATATATGGAGTTTCACACCCACACCCACACGCACACGCAGAGTCTTAAGAAGGAAAAGCTCCAATGTAAAGGAAAGAATTTGATATAGAAGAGTCTCCATAAAATGTCTCTTTGCATAAAAACCCTAAATTTCGAAGTTTCCCTGACAGACAGTCCAGAAACTTATGAGAGAGAGAGAGAGAGAGGTCTATATCTTTCTGTGATTGTTTTCTATATCTTTGAACCAGAACACCTGAGAGAGATTGTTCTGTAGCTCCAATCCGAAGCCTTAAGCTTCTCATTTCATTCAAAACCTTAAGAAACTTTCTCTAAAATTGTTGATTCGCATAGCTCCAAAATTCACCCAAATGTACAAAAATTAGGGTTTCTGATAAGCCACATTTCAAGCTTACCACAGTGATTTGGCACCACATGAGCATTGGCACCACGCGATCTAGTAACTTTATATTCAGCTTCAATCTTCGCCTCCAAAACCTCCAAGTCTTCTTTTACACCTTTCAACTCTTCTGACTTCACCGCCTCTCCTCCACTGCCCACCGGTTTTGCCACCGCATCCGCCGCCTCACTCTTCACCAACGCCACCGAATCCAACGGAGACGCTGCGGAATTGTTGTTCGGTAGCTGACGAGCTCTAGTGCACGGACCGTTGTGGTGGATCGACGGGAACGGCACCGCCTGGGGCTTCTCACGAGCTTGGCGCTTCAACGACATCGTTTGGGATGTCGAACTGTTGCCACTGCCGCTGATGTTGCCCGCTTTTCGCTTTGGGCCACCTCTCCGCCGTGANTTGCCAATCCGTCAGCATCAGCAGCACCCACAACAGCAGACTCAGTCTGCAGGAATGGGTGATAATTGATCAAACCCCAATAGTCCAAAAAATCCATCACCTCTTGCTTCGCTTCCAAATCTCCAACAGAGAGCTCAGATAGACAAATCTTTCAACTCAATCTGTGTGTCAGGATTTGCATGAAACTTATTTATAATCCAATTTCATATCTCCAATTATATTGCAGGAGTCCGACTCTCCGACCTTCCATTAAAGAAAGAAGGCAAAGATTTTTCTTCCAATAGATGAATTTTGTTCCATGAAAACCAACCTACAAAACCAAAAAGAGAAAGAGACCTCAAATTGTAAGCCAAATGATAAACAAACCCCAAAATCCTAATTCTCTTATTATGCTACACGTCCATATATGGAGTTTCACACCCACACCCACACGCACACGCAGAGTCTTAAGAAGGAAAAGCTCCAATGTAAAGGAAAGAATTTGATATAGAAGAGTCTCCATAAAATGTCTCTTTGCATAAAAACCCTAAATTTCGAAGTTTCCCTGACAGACAGTCCAGAAACTTATGAGAGAGAGAGAGAGAGAGGTCTATATCTTTCTGTGATTGTTTTCTATATCTTTGAACCAGAACACCTGAGAGAGATTGTTCTGTAGCTCCAATCCGAAGCCTTAAGCTTCTCATTTCATTCAAAACCTTAAGAAACTTTCTCTAAAATTGTTGATTCGCATAGCTCCAAAATTCACCCAAATGTACAAAAATTAGGGTTTCTGATAAGCCACATTTCAAGCTTACCACAGTGATTTGGCACCACATGAGCATTGGCACCACGCGATCTAGTAACTTTATATTCAGCTTCAATCTTCGCCTCCAAAACCTCCAAGTCTTCTTTTACACCTTTCAACTCTTCTGACTTCACCGCCTCTCCTCCACTGCCCACCGGTTTTGCCACCGCATCCGCCGCCTCACTCTTCACCAACGCCACCGAATCCAACGGAGACGCTGCGGAATTGTTGTTCGGTAGCTGACGAGCTCTAGTGCACGGACCGTTGTGGTGGATCGACGGGAACGGCACCGCCTGGGGCTTCTCACGAGCTTGGCGCTTCAACGACATCGTTTGGGATGTCGAACTGTTGCCACTGCCGCTGATGTTGCCCGCTTTTCGCTTTGGGCCACCTCTCCGCCGTGACGACGTTGGCTCAACCGCCATAGCTTCCGACGGCTTCGATGGCGTTGCGGTGGCGTAATTCGCCGGCTGTAGAGTTCCGATATCTTTGCGCTTTTCCTCCATTTCAAGGGCTCGATTGGGGACTCTACTGAGATCGTCGTCACCTTCGAAGATATATCTATCACGCCATTTCTGTATTAACCGGTTTTGGTTATCTGCAATGTCGGCCTACTTTAACTTACGTACAACCTCATCCGCTATCAATATAGACCGTTCAAATGGTCTGATGTCATCTAATCAAGAAAAGTTAATTTATTCAACGGTATTAATTGGGGGTTGTATAATGCTATTGCCAAGGAAGTTTCTGTATTGTACAATGAAAGAATTGCACAGAGGAGGCATTATTTTTACTTTTCTAATTGGGGTTATTTGTAATTTCTAAATAAATTATGGGGTTATTTTGCTATTAGAAAAAAATTCAAAACATTGTGTAACAAAATATGGAGTCATTTTGTCCATATAAAATATGGAGTCATAGAACCATGAAATTGCTTGGAGTTAAAGCAAATTAGAGGATGTAATGTGAGAAATTTAGTAGTTAGGGGTAAAATAGAAAAAGAGTGATAGTTTAGGTGGTGTAAGTGTAATTTAACCCTTCTATTAATGATATTTTACTCTCCACGAGTCCTATGTAATTTGCATTTGACCCTGACTAAAATTAACATTTTGGTTAACTTTGCAATGACAGTTTGATAAAAATCATCAGCCAACTGCATATTTTTTTCTTCCTTTTCCAAATTATTTAGTGGGAAAATCAAATCTCAACATATGCATCCTAGTTGTTTACCCTCAACTTTCTCAAGATTTTATAACTATTATTTGTATATTTATGCAAAAGTGTGTGTGGGGCGACCAACTCCAACGTCTCCTTAGTCTTATATAAAATTTTTGAAATGATTCTCACAAACTCAATGAGTTCGTTCTTTTAAAACTTTTTTTCTTCAATAACCCTTTTAAGAATGCAACGATAAACTTTTTACTCCCCTCGGATTTATCCTTGAATTCATAGAATCTACTTTAACCACTTCATTTATACATATAAAAAAAAGGTTTTTACATCAACAAGTTGTTGAAGGTTGGAAACAAGAGAAACTCACAAACTTTTATTATTGCACACTCGTTATTTAAGCACACATTATGACACACACTTAATACCACCTATTACACAAACATAGACCAGATACTTCTTACAAAGCTTCAAATTATACATATTAATACATTAGACTTGAGTTTGATCTTAATCCTTATAAGCAGAAACACTGTCCCTTGGTTCGAAATCTTTGACAAATGATATATTTGCTTGTAAACCAGCATCATCGTGATAAACTGAGACATTAGGCCTTGGTTCAAAGTCCTCAACAAAGCCATTCTCTTTAGCATCATCATGGTATACAGAGACATTAGGCCTTGGTTCAATGTCCTCAGCAAAGCCATTCTCTTTAGCATCATCATGGTATACAGAGACATTAGGCCTTGGTTCAATGTCCTCAGAAAAGCCATTTTCTTTTTTTATATCCTCGACGTTCCTAACATAATGATCGGTGTTTTTTGTATCAGTTGATGTGTGACAGTCTGTGTCTTTGTTTGAGAGAGATGACTCTGAACCCTCGACGACAATTGCTTCAGGCATGAGCTTATCTTTCATGGTACCTTGGGAATTTTCTCCAGGATTTGGTCTTGCAGTTGTCATGGTTGCAAACTGCTCAAAAACATTACCATGATGTATATTATCACATATATAAAGCTTATAAGGATTCTTCACCTTGAAAAGATAGATTAAAAAGGGATTCTGAGTTGGTTTTGCTTACCAGAAGAAGCAAAAGGAGAGTGAAGAAAGCAGAAGATGATTCCATGTCTTCAATACTATAAGAAATTTTTTACTCTCGGAAGCTCAAAAACCATTTGTTATTTATAGATAAAGTGTTAAATAGTATCTTCGATATAATATTACAGCTGATAAGTTCAATTCTCAACTTATAAAAGCACAAGAACGGTTAAGATTAATCCAACCTTCATATATTTTAATCCAATGGTACAAAATTCATCACAATTTTTTTTTGGTATTCAAAAAATTCATCTTCTCTGTATGGTTCCCAATGTCGGACAATTTAATTAATACATCAACATACTCCCGAATGCAAAACAATGTCATTAGTCCAAATCTACCTCTAATTTCTTTCTATTTATTTTAATTTTAAATTGCGTAATTAGAAGAAAAAAAACACAATTTGTTATTAATAAAAATATAAATCTCATGATTCACGTTGGCTACACAAATAATATCATTATATGATTCAAGATTCATGTTGAAGCACAATGATTAATGTTGGCTATTAAATAAAACAATATTATTGGCAATAGGTGATGGAGCTCCCTATCTCCAGAATGGATTGATTGATAATGAAGAATTGAAGGGCCCCACCTTCATTGGAAGATACCATTCATTGAAAGTTTATGGTTTCACTCAAAATCTTATGTCTATTAATGATTTATATTTCTTATTTCCCAACCATTGGAAGCAATCTTCATTGGCACAAAGATTTTCTCACAGCAACCTTCACTTCAATAGAACCCCGACAATGTCTATCAATATTTGTAGCACTCAAATATCTTTGCTTTCGATGGCTAAGGTTTTTAAGTTATACAGAAATCAAATTTTCAAATAACCATCAGTTTACCTCGGATCAAGTTACAAATATGGATCCAAAAAAAATTTCAATTAGAATTCAATAGATTTCATGTTAGAACAGATACGAATCGAAATGGAATATAAGACCATCCACTACAATTTTACTTGGGTCTATATGTGCAACCATCTTCTTATCTTTAACATTGGACCGCCCAACCAATCTCATGAAAAAACTCCCATTAAACTATATACTCAATGACTATAAAGAAAAAACAAAAATATCAGCATTTGATGAGGTACAAAACTTCAATAATTATCTTGTTTGCTAGTATATGAATCACATGGTATGTCTGTGTCTTTTTGCTCATTATACCATACCCTTCATATTATGATCTTTCTAGCTATGAAAAGATGGCAGCATACTAATCTTGTAACCTTGGAGGAATCAAAAGAAAGGACCAAGTATCGTCCTCTCATTCTGGTTATATCTGTCATATTTAATCATTAGCAATCTTAATGCTTATTATGGCCACCAAATAGGTTGAAGTGTTGCCTTTGCATGATATTTCAATGAACACGCCTACATCTACCGACTTAAGCATCGGAAGTCCTCCATCGACACTCTTGACAGTAGAAACCTCTCCTATTTCCTTGTTTTGCAGGTTGTGAATGGGCGTCAAATCATATCCACATCGGTATTCTGACGTGTGGAATTTCTTTTTCTTTTTTTTTGGCATCAATGATTATATTTTAAGAATAAACTGGTTTTCAATTTGATTTGGAATCTTTTTCTTGTTGGTGAAAAACATTAGCATATGGCTAGATGTCAAGATCATGATAAGTGTGTGGGCTCCTAAGAATCAATTACCAAATCTACTGACAATTAATCTTCAACCTCCAAATGTTCTTGTATCACTTTTTTTTAGAGATATGGTAGTTTTTAGTTAAGGAACTTCACTAAGTTTTAGATACAAGAGGTCCTGAGGTACCATGAGATTGTTCCAACAGGGTGAGAGTTATTCTTCTTTTGTGTCGTACCAAAAGTTACTATGGTGTAAAATGTAGATTACGACTCAATCTGCTGAGGCTGAAAAAAAAATGAGGTTGTTTAGAGTTGATTCTAATAGTCCTAACATATAGGATTGACCTTAATTCTTTTAGGATCGGCTCCAACTTTTTTTAAATTGTAGCTTTGCCTCATCGGGTCATAGATCATAATTAATCTTTTTGAGCCATAACTTATTGTAAACTGAGTTGTACAAACCTTTATTTAGTTGTAAATTTCGGTACTCCAGTACCGTAGTTTTCCCCCTTTAATAAATTTTGCTGTTAAAAGGAGCAAAAAAACACAAGAATTTTACAAGTTGTTCAACAGACTTAACATTTAATAATAGAATAGCATATTCAAACAGTAGATTGATTGCTTGATTGTGCTTTTTCCTAGAAAAAGACCTTTATTTCACTCAAAGAGGTCTAGTCTTTGGCTTGATGACTTAATATTGAATATCCCACAATAATAGAGAAACTTGTTCATGCTTATCCTTACTGAAGTAAGGTGAGTTTTGCCCAGTTTTCAGAAAGACCTAGAAAGGAATCCTAAGCAAAAGAAGAAAGATGGGCCTTAAACTTGCTACTCGGAGTCTTTTCCTTCTTCTACTGGTTTTACTGGTGATCCCTCTACTCATGTCCTTCATTAAATGATCATCTTTTGGTACTCTACCCGGGTGCTCATAATGGCGAAGATGACAATTGTTGCTGCATTAGCAGTAACCATAGTCATTTAACGCTGCTCTCAAGTTAATATATGATCAAAGTGGTTGATTAAAAGTGTAGCATTTGGTTTTGATCATCATGGAGGACATATTGTCAGAGAGCTTACAATTTACACAGATTTCAGTGTCAATGCGAACCATTTTTAATTTTTTTTCATTGTATTTAGCCTGAGTCACTCCAATTAGTATCAGTTTTCCATTGAAATTTTTGAAAAGTATGACAAATTTGACTCTTTTTTTTATTAAATCTAAGAACAGCTTATCTGCTAAACCATGATTATATATTTGGAACTCTTTTCGCTACTAATTTTTTTTTTGTAGTGTGTTCATGGAGCTGATCAAGAACAGCGGAAAGATTTAACAAAGCAGACACAAAAGAACAAACAGGTGAAGCTGCATGACACCAAAGGGCATATCATGTTAGGAAACCCCAAGAATGACCACAACGATGACAATCATCAACGTAATGAGATTAATACTTCTAATGATTCTGCAGTTGAAGATATCCCTGGAGGCATTAATGTCTTGAGGCTTCATAGCATGGATGCTCATATCAACGATGAAAACGATGTCCATGATAAGGCAAATGTTTTGCAGCATGCTATAGATGACCCTGTTTCAATCTCTGATAAACAAGACAATGATGCTCATGGAGGGACACATAGAGATCATGTCCATGATCATATAGACCCTTCATTAATTGTGTTCTTTCTTATCAAGGATTTGAAACTAGGCAAAACAATGCCTATCCATTTCCCCAAAAGGGACCCTTCTTCATCTCCTCATTTGTTGCCCAAAGAAGAAGCAGAGACCTTTGCTTTCTCATTAAAAGAACTCCCAAATCTTCTTCCACTCTTCTCCTTCTCTCCAAACTCTCCACAAGCCAAAGCCATGGAAAATACACTTAGAGAATGTGAGGCTGACCCCATCAAAGGAGAGACCAAGTTCTGTGCCACCTCTTATGAATCCATGACTGATTTTACAAGAAGCGTTTTCGGGATCAAGAGCCAAATCAAATTTCTATCCACCACTCATCTCACCAAATCTAACACCCATTTTCAGAACTATACCATATTGGAAAATCCCGAAGAAATATCAGCTTACAAAATGGTGGCATGTCATACTATGCCTTACCCTTATGCAGTTTTTTACTGTCACACCCAAGCAAGTAAGAACAAGGTGTTTAAGATTTTATTAGGTGGGGAGAATGGAGATAAGGTGGAAGCTGTTGTTGTTTGTCACATTGACACCTCTCAATGGAGCCGGAATCATGTGTCTTTCCGTGTGCTCGGAATTGAAGCAGGGACTCCTGGGGTGTGCCATTTCTTTCCAGCAGACCATCTTGTGTGGATTTCCTCGCCTACTTCGATATAGTTGTGTAATTATTCTTAATCATTCGCGTCTCAATACTTCTTGATCTTGTGTTTAATTGCTATGTTTTTAGATATGACTATGGTGTGTGTGTTGATTATTGTCAATGGATTTGGGCATAAGTGAGTTTCCCAGTGCAACAAAGTGGTTATGTGAAATGAATGTTGATAGGATGGTTCAAGCGCTTGTGCACAGGTGTAATTTCGACAAATGGTATATCATTATCATTATCACACAATGTTTACAAAAAATTGAGGCCCAAGAGTTGGTCCAAAAGCCCAAGTGAACAGACCAGTGGATAGGGCTATGCCTTTTGCCTTTGGGTCCAACTGACTGGGCTGATTAAGGCCTACAAAAGGCGGCTCACCTAAAAAGCCCATTGCTCAACCCATCAAAATTAGAAAAACATGAAAAAGAAAAGCTCATTAGAATCGTCGCGATGGATTGCCTGATACATGCCCACTAAACCGACCCGATAGACAAGTCGTGGGCCGTATGTTTCCAGAAGGTCTTCTGTGGGCCTGGCAATCAGATAGGCTCGTTTGGCCCGATACAGACCCTTGCCATCTGGATCCTTTTAACAGCTAATTATTATGAAAAACTGCAAAACAAAAAAAAACTTTACTTTGTTCCTTTCCAATTAACTTTTTTGGGCCTCTAACTAGGGCTAATAATAAACTAGTGTTATTCGGGCTCGGTTCAAATTCAACTAATATAAGAGTCGATTTAGTTCAACTCATATTTTAAACGGGACAACCTTGAACAATTTTTTCACTCTACTTGTTTATATATAAAATAGTTGAGCTAATCAGACTCAGCTTATTCTAAGTTCAGCTCATTTTATAAACAAGTCAAACTTAAACAATTTTTTAGATTCATTTTAAAAAACAAGCCCAATAGGCTATAAGTAACCTATTTACCAAAAGTAGAACAAATCTGTAAAAATAAAAGGCGACGGTAGAATATGCAAAGGCTAAGCTGCTTTAAATTGTAATTATAGTTTCGAACATTAATCCACTGAATCTGTAGAGTGAACTAGAGCCTCGATGTTTCATCATCAATAAAGCATTAATCATGAATG